GGTAGGGTGAAGAAGTTACCGAATAATGGCAAGTGAAAGTTGGACATAGGACGGGGTAGGAGATTTTGAGCTTCAAAAAGAAGAAGTAAACACACGCCCATTCTCGCTCGAGGCGAGGTTATTATACATAACAATATTCAACATCACGAATAAAAGAATAATAAAAACCCACAATAATACTTGTTCACACACTAAAGAAAAGAAAAAATAACAAAGTTCAGAGTTCCAAGTGGAGAAGTGGAGAAGTGGGGCAAAATAAATCGGCTCTGCAACATGTCTCACTCGGTCGACTACCTCTCTCGAGTCATAGATGGGTTCTCCTCGTCATTGGACAAGACTCCCCGATGTCGAGCTATCTGCTCCAACAAAGTGTGGGATCAATCCAACCGTGTGGAGACCACTGTGTACTGCTCCTCGAGGCTAGTGACTCGATCCTTGTGGTGGACTGCGGGTAAGGAATGACCGGCTTCGACCGATGATGATGGTGGTGGTGGTGGTGGTGGTGGTGGTGTAGGATGCCGACGGCGGTGCTGGCGTGGATGAGAAGTTGGCTGCTGGGGAGGTATCCCTGGTGGGCCTAAAAGACCCACAATGTATCGATAGGGTCCAAAGACTTGGAGCAAATGCATGGATTCCAAAGTCTCCTCCTTGAACATCATAGTACGCCCCTCTTTCGTGCAACACTCGAGATCGAAATTGAAATGCCGAGCAATTCTAATGATGTATGGTCCCAGATGCATCGAAGTATTCTGCTGGTTACCTGTAGCTTTGGCTAAGGATGTGGCCAAGACGGACCCAAGGTGAAGGTATTGATTTGAGTCCGCCATGAAAGTGAAAGCGAGTAGAGCTCTCTTGGTAATCTTGTTTACCGACTTGGACGATGGAAAGATGGAATGGAAGAGAAGCTTGGTTATAATACGCCATTGGGGTTTGAGGGGGGTCACCATGGTATGTGCTGGATCAAACCGGGTCCGGCGGTTCTTCGGGAGACACAACTTCATGAAATTGACGTGCAAATTAAAGCTTTGGATGGAAACCACTTCTAGAATGGCCCCCGAGTCCCCATCCACCCCCATAGCTTGCGCGAGCTCATTAAAACTCAAACACCGAGGTGAGCCCCCATACAAAACAAACGTATGGTTTCCGGTCCCCAAACAAATATCTTTCCTTATAGATGAAGAATGTGCTGAAAATTTCAACAAATAGTTCGGCAAAAATGTCTTCCTCAGGCGCAAGGAACCGTCGCCATTGGGGATGCGCCACGGCTTCCTTCATTGCATCCCCACAGTTCAAGACATCAAACTGGTGGAAGTCAATTCGCCAATGAGACCCAGTTGGGGCCTTACTCCAGAATCTTAGGCCTCCTTAACATTTAGGCAACCTCGAGATCGTCGTAAGGTACGGGTGATTTGGATCAACCATCCTGCAAAAACATCAAAATCCATACACCATCGTGGAAGCATTTATTAATCTCAAATAATTGGGGAAAAAGTATTCCCCCACACTTAGGATTCCACTATGACTATACACCTTCAAGGTTTTTCATAAGATTGGTGCTCCAACAATTAATCACATTTCCACACAAGAAACATTACGGAATGGTTCTTGGTAATTCGTAGTTCATCAAGGTTGAAATTTTAAACCTAAGCCATGCCTCGATGGTCGCCAACAATCATGCATAAAAGTGGATCAAACATTCATTTACATATTGCACTTGGTAGGCATTTTCCCATTCAAACACAATTCATACCAAATCTTGCCCACCATGATCAATCAAGTTCACAATCACTTCATGCATCATTCAATCAACATAAATCGACTAACCCATCGCCTAATTTCAACATTCATGCATTCAATCGCAAAATCCCCTCACCTAAGAACCCTTATCCGATTCTCCAAAATTAACAAGGTAAAAGTTAAAAACACACTTCAAGACTCAAGTAGGATCGAAGGGGAAGGTGAGGATACGGCGAGGGATTCAACAAACAGCCTAAAACATGGTCGGAGAGGCTCATTGGTGCTTCATTTGAAGCTCGCCGAAAGCTCACAAGAATGGCCCCAGCGGGAAAATTTTTAGCCAAATCGCTCCAAAATTTCGGCGATGGGGCGCCCAGACACGAGGAGTATGGGTCTGGTTTCGGTTTTGAAAAAGGACAGCCGGAAGTCGACGAACTTCAAGAAAAATGGATTCAAATCGCGATTTTCCGATGAGGTCAGAGGATTCGGGCGAAAACAGGTTATTGAAGAAGGGGAATCGCGGTCCCCCTTTTATAGCATGATCTGGAGGTTCGCGCGCGAAGGTCGATTTTCACGGTTGGTAAGACCGTGAACATAACTCTCCAACCGTGATCTTGGGAAAAAACTATGAGTTTTGGCAAAGTGGAACTGCCCTTCGAGATAACGGTCTCCGCTTAATTATCACAGTTACACGACCGTGATAATAGAGCTAAAACCGTGAACTAATGAAAAACAGAGCAATTTCAAAAAAATTTAGACTCAATATAAACAACCCTGCCCCTAACTCAATCACAAAACATCTAAAACTTTCAAACACACAAATCTGGCACGGTGATCACCATTCAACCACTTAAACTCATCACTCAATCACAAAAAGAGAAAATAAGGAAAAGAAAACAAACCTACGTTGGGTTGCTGATAGCATCGTATTTGCACGTGTTTGCAGTCTTGTTTCCTGACCATTTTAGCTTGAATTTGTGGTTCCATGGACTATTTTATGCTAGGCTGTGTTGTTTTGTCGTATCTCAGGTCCTAGCGAGTAAAGGGATGCGTAGGCGCAAGTTTCGGGTAATTTGGAGGTCAATTGGCGATTCAAGGTTCAAAATACGGGCATCCCCAGCACAATTACGGGCGTAATTGCCTCTGCCTTGACCGTAAATGCAATGCCAAGCCAAATCTCTGAGAATGTTTGTCGAAGATCAAATTACAGGCAAGAGCAAAATGAAATACGGTAGTAATTCTACAAATACTGGCAGTAATTGGGTAATTACGATCGTAATTCCATCCCTCAGTGTTAAGTGAACAGAAAGGATTCCTCTTCCTCTACCCGATTTTGTTGCACTCGAATGTCTTCTGTGGTGGTTGTCTAGGTTGCTGTTGAGTTGTCCATATGTCAATGATCAAAATCCAGTATGATTCACGTGCTTTGTGCCGATATGATATGTCCCCAAGGGTTGCATGATTGAGATGTTTTGAGCTTACCTTGTATCTGACTTGGTTTGCTTGGGGATAAACAAACGGTTAAGTGTGGGGGAACTAGGTAGCATCGTATTTGCACGTGTTTGCACTCTTGTTTCCTGACCATTTTAGCTCGAATTTGTGGTTCTGTGGCCTATTTTACGCTAGGTTGTGTTGTTTTGTCGTATCTCAGGTCCTAGCGAGTAAAGGGATGCGTAGGTGCGAGTTTCGGGTCATTTGGAGGTCAGTTGGTGATTCAAGGTTTAAAATACGGGCATCCCCTGCACAATTACGGGCGTAATTGCCTCTGCCCTGACCGTAAATGCAATGTCGAGCCAAATCTCTGAGAATGTCTGTCGAAGATCAAATTACGGGCAAGAACAAAATGAAATACGGTCGTAATTCCACAAATACTGGCAGTAATTAGGTAATTACGATCGTAATTCCATCCCTCAGTGTTAAGTGAAACACACTTTTTGGGAGAAATACGGGCATACCATGTTTACGACCGTATTTCTCCTTGTATTTCGCCCAGAATCGGGTTTTTGAGGCAGATTGGAGTCTGATCATCTTTTCTTGATTCATTGAGTCAATTGAAGTATGATCATCTTTTCTTGATTTCTGTTGCAACCTGAGATAGATAGAATTTGATTAAGTTGTTAGAGCTTCATCAATCGGTAGTGGTAGATTGGTTATACGAGAGTTAATTGATTTACTGCTTTGTATTGGAACCCAATTCCAGTAGTGGAGTTCTGTGCTTATTGCCTCAGCAGTCTATCCCGGTGAAGGTTAGTCGCCTGCCAGTTAGCTTTCCTGAGAGGGCTTGGTCAACTTAAGAAATTCCAAGCTACTGTTGGATCTTCCGCAGTTTAAACAACAGTTAATCAATCCAGGGTAATTACAACCTCGACCTAACTAAGGAGCTAGTGGGACTCGTTCCCGAGTGACTCTTACCTTGCTAAATAACTTTGAACAATTTCCTGCTTTCTTACTGCTTTTAGTTAAAATCACAATCACTCGACTTAGTTTGCTAGATAATAAATAATCACGGAATAGGCAGTAGATCTAGACCCTGGGTTGACAAATAGAGCTTGCCACTTACTGCATTTCCGGACTGCGATTACACTTGGTCTCAGTTTGGTGTTGTGTTTTAGCGTGTCAGTTGCCTCCCAACAAGCTCTAGTTTAACATCCCCAGCTCGACATTGTGAATCTTTCGTGCTAGAGATCATGAATCCTCCGAGAGTGGATCCACTACGGTCTCGGGGCGAGGATTTTCACCTCCCATCTTAAGCTCTAAAGTATGGCCCTCTTGGCTGGGCACCTTCGCATTACCCTTGTCTTTCTTTTGGGTAAAGGTGTGGCTCATATTTGCATGCAAGTTCCCTTTTTCCTCCCTTCGGGTTTGGTACCCTCCTTAGATCCCTGTTTCACATCATTACAACGAGCGAGCACTAGCGGGGTTCACCTTGAGTGGCTCACCTCCACTTCCAAACATACCATTCAATTCCACTTCTTTAACATCAAGAATCTTACTCTTAGGGTCAACCGAAAAGGTAATTTTCCCTCTCCATCCCTCAAGATCAATGTATCCTCATTAACATCAATTAAATCCTTGACGGTGGCAAGGAAAGGGCGTCCTAATATGAGAGACATATCAACATCTTCACCAATTCCAAGGATAATGAAATTCAGCGGATAATAAAATGTGCCCACTCTCACTAGAACATCCTCCACAATACCTCTAGGACTAATCACCGAATGGCCAGGCAATTTAACACTCAACCTAGTGGGTTTCAATTCACCTAGGTTCAATTTCTTTTAATGCTTAAATGGCATGATATTAATGCTTGCTCCTAAATTCGTCATTGAATTTTCTATATGGCATGTTCCGATGCAACGAGGGATAGTAAAAATACCTGGATCTTGTTGCTTTTTAGCCAACTAATTCTAAATAAAGGTTGGGCACTCCTCGCTCAAGGTGATGATAGCGAGGTCTTCAAACTTTTGGTTCTTTGCAAGAAGCCCCTTCAGGTACTTGGCATACCTTGGCATGTAAGCCATTATCTCTAGGAAAGGAATTGTGATATGGAGCTTCTTGAGCATCTCCATGAACTTTCCACACTCCGCCTCCAAACGGTCTTTATGCACCCTTGTACGGAAAGGGAGAGGAGGCTCGTACTCAGCTACTAGTGTTGGCGATGCCTTCTTAGCCTCTCCACCCTCTCCTTCTGAGAGTTCTTTCTCATTGACCTTTGGAGCTTCCTTTTCTTCTTCAATTACCTCATTAGCAACAACATCCGGATTTACCTTCCCGATCCTCAAGAGAATAGCATTTCAATCGGCATTTTGATCCTCGGGGTTGGCAATAGTTTGAATAGGTAGAGCTCCCCTCGGTCTTTCGATAAGGATCCCGGCAAGATTGCCTATTTGAGTCTCCAAGTTTTGAAGACTTGTTTGATGGCTTCTTAGACCTTGCCTCATCTGAACTAAACTTGTGTGTTGCTATATCCATGAATTTCTCAATCTTCTCGAACTTCTGTGAGCTTGTTCTTACAAAAATGGTAACTAGGTCTTCTAGTTTTGCAAACTTGTCGGGTAGTTATTGGAACCCTTGACCAGCTTGCGGTTGGAATTGTTGTTGTTGTTGTTGTTGGAAGTTTGAGCCTTGTAATTTGGGCCTTTGTTGAATGAAATGAGGCATTGGTTGAAAAAATCCCGTAAGTCCTTGGAAATTGGGGGCTCTTGGATTTGTAGGGGAAGACCATGGGAAGTTGGGATGATTGCGCCACCCCAAATTGTAAGTGTTGCCATAGGGGTTGTTGTTTTTCCCCTAGCATTGGCAATGAATCTCACTTGCTCTTCTGGGGTGCTTTTTTCCTTCATCAATTGGCACACCGCAATCTCATGGTTGTTACTCGAACACCAATCACACGCCATCACCGGCTTCTTCCCTTACTTCTTATCTTAAGAAGTTCAGTTATCAACTGGTCGATCTTTGCGACGAGCGGAAGACTCGTTTCCGTGGAGTGCACTCCTCTCTTGGCACCTCGTCTACCACAACTTGTCAAACCCCAATCATACCCCTTCGTTAACATATCTTCAAGCAAAGCAGTCATCTCGGGTGGAGTCTTGTTCATCAAGTTCCCTTGACATAGAGGGTCAATGAGAATCTTTTCCTCTAGAAGAAGACCGTCGTAGAAGTTTTTGATCCAAAAAAGCTCTCCAAACCCGTGATATGGGCATTAGAGGAAAAAGTCAGAGTACCTCTATCAATGATCTTCTTGTGTCACTCTGTCTTCTTGGAAGGTGGAAAATATCGGGCCATGAAATTATTGATCAATTCTTCCCATGAGGTCATCGAGAGGGGTGGTCAATTGTTGAGCCACCTAAGCGCTTTCACCGCAAGAGAGTAGGGGAAAAACCTCAACTTCAAATCCTCTTTGAATACTCCATTGATCTTCAAACTTCCCGCAATCTTGATGAATCTCTAGATGTGCTCCCTTGGAGACTCAACCTTGAGCCCCTGGAACTGGACGTTGAATAAGATCATTGTGATGAGGTCGGGCTTGATCTCGAAATTGTTGGCAGTCTCGGGTGGATGCAAAATGGCCGGTTGGATATCCGCCACCCATGGAGCCATATATTAGCCCATGGTCCGCGGTTCCTAATTAGCCTCTTGACCATTTTGATTCTCCGCCATCTCGGCTTCACTTTCTTCCTCTTCCGTTGTTTCAACTTCCTTCACAACTACAACTTCTTCTTCAACTTCAACTTCGAGACCAACTTGTCGTTGTCCCCTCTCCTCTATCCTTCTTCTTGATTCTGCCAGCTCCCTCTCACGATCCAACAGTCCAAAAGTGCGGTTGAGGTTGCCGTCCAGTGGCACCAAAGGTGCCAGATTACTCCTGGTTATACACCCTCCTGCACAAACTTCAAAGAAATACAAGTCGGCTAACACAAGTAACATTCATGATCAACAAAACAAACATAAACGCTAGATTAACACCAAACAATCTTCTCAAAATAATGGACCGAAGTTCCCCGACAATGGTGCCAAGAAATTGACTCATCTGGAATATTACAATTTAAATCTCGACTAAGGCACAATTGCCCAAGTATAAACTCTAGACAAGTGAAATATAGGGCAAGTATGTTTTAAAAGTCAAACACGGGTCAGTCTATGTACCCCTACTCTAACTATTTGAAACATTATCTAGCAATCGATTTTTGGTTAAAACTACGGACTATAAATAAAAGCAATTGGAAATGTAAATGGTTTTGAACACTAATTGAGAAGGCTTCACCCGAGTGTTGTTCCCCTCAAGTTAACACTACTTGTTGAACCAAATGTAAGGGTGTGGTAAAAACGGTTGTAAACTATAGGTAAGCGCACCAAGTGAAGAAGCTTCACTCTCTCCGTCATTAGGCCAAGGGGTATCAAATCAAGCTACCGAGTAGCTCTCTTGGCCAATCGATTAAGGGTTTCCTAGGCTTCTCCCTCGAACCATAGTCCGGACGACCAAAATACAACCTACCCAAGGTGCCAAAACGTAGTATGAGTTTTTCCCTAATTTGGCCTAGGCAGGTGGCTCAATTTCGCCAGGGAGTTCCAACTTTTGAAAGCCTCTTAGCAAGAAGGGGATTTCCCTCTACCTAGGTCAAATTGGCATAAGAGTTGGAATGGAAAGTACAACACAACCTTTATGAATATACCTCAATACTTGCATTAAAACACAACCACACACAAATCATTCAATCCATATAAACATTCACATGATTCTCGCTAGGGTTCACAAACGCCCAAGTGAAAGAAGGGTACTACTCCATGCTAAAATGAAGGAATACATAAAGTAGAAGAGAAACGACCATCTAGAGATATTTGGCTTCTTCATTTAGTGTGGAGATCAACCTTGGAGAATGAGATTTCCAAATCTTTGAGCTTGGAAGAAACCCTTACCTTCTTCTCCTCTCTTATTCATCACCTTCTCTCTCTACAAATCTGAGGAAGAAGAAGTTTTCTCACACTAGGCTTTCCTCTCTTTTTAAGCTCAACTCCCCTTTTATACCTTGATCGACAAGTTTTCACAATCCCAGTTTACGACCGTGAACTCCAAGCTTGGATCGTGATCCTGGACAAAACCGCGTCGTTTCACTTAAGCTCTTCACATTTTGGAGGGAATTATCACGATCGAGTGACTGTGATTTACTTTACACACGTGAGGCGCACGGGATGGTATGTTTCCTCTGCACTTCACGGTTAGGCCTCCATTATCACGGTCTAGCTGACCGTGAAAACTAGGCTTCCATCGTGATCCTCTGCCAATTCCTCCCTTCGATCCATTTTCGCCCTTTTTCGTCCAACTTTCGTTCCCAAGGTTGATTCCACCTGGTAGGATATGATTCACACTAGAAACAAGCACAACTTAGCATAAAACCAAACCTCGCGGAGTGAAAACTCCTCAAACATCTAAAGAATATCGGGATAAAATGTGTGCAATTGCTACTGAATGAGTCTCCATTGATAGCCTTCATTTTGGTAATTGATATCAGATTGTCCTTGCCCTTTTTGGCTATAAAAGCCAAATATGTCATGGAATTCTTCTCCACATGCCTCACAAATGAACAAGGATGCAATCGGTCCATTCTTTGGCTCCATTGAAGTCCTTCTTAGCTATTGGGTCAGCTCCTTCATGTATGCACAGAGGGTGGCGACATAATCCTCCCTTCCTTGGGAATATTTCAATGGTTTAATCATTGATGGATGCTTGAACTAGTTCTTTGATTTTCTTGGTAATTGTTGAAATGCTCCTGGCATTGTACTCCCATCATTATTGTGAAATCTCCGTCGACCGACTGGTTTACCATCATTATGGTCTCTCGATCAAGGCCTTTGGCTAAGTAATTTGCAATGCTCTGGCGTAAATCCATGATGGGGGCATGCTTTAGATATACTCCTAGAATCTACTCCAAGCATCATAGAAAGGCTCTCCTTCCTTTTGTTGAAATTGAGTTATCTTGTCTTTAGACTCTTCTGTCTTCCATGGTTGAAATTACTCCATGATAAATGCTTATGCAAAGATTTCCAATGACGATCTCTAAGAATGTCTTGTGGAGCATCATCATTCCTTCCATCAAATCTTCCAGCTTATGGCACCATCTGGATAAGTTGAGTTCTAATTTCTTCGTTTGTTCATGGTGCTGCAATGCTTGAGGTGATGTTTGATGCTCTTGTCCTTGAATACTCATAGAGAGTAGGTGGAATGGCCACTTATCTTTTTCCTTCTTCTCCAGTCATAGTTGGTGTTGAAGATGCTCCTTCTTTATCTGAATCAAAGTTTTCTTTGTCAATTTTGTCCTCCTCTTCCAAGTGTTGCTCAAAAGTGGTGTGGCTTGAGGGCTCTTCTTTCCATGAGCTAGATGCTCCTTCCTTTATCTCCAAGATGGGTGAGCTCAATGCGCCTCTTTCTTAAACTATCTCTTGCATGATGTACATGTTTTTTCTTCAAGTACTTATTTAACTCATGCAAAATTCTGCAAAACTAAAGAAAGTCACAAAATAAAATTCTAGGATGCCCGAGGGGTCGAATTCCTCGAGGTCTTCTAATGCATAACTACTCAAAAAAACCATTCATTTAGGTAGCAAACAAGAAAAGTAATGCAAGTAGAATGAAGTTGTTTAGGTTTTATTTATTTATTTATAGATGCATAAATTAAAGATATATTATTGCAGAAGGGAGCAAACTCGACTACTATCATGCATACTAGGGCTCAATCATAACATGTATCGATGATTCATCTATTATATCACTCTATCCATTCCTCTAAAGCGATTCTCTACTCATACTTTCGCTTCATGCCATCACCTAATTAATGAAGAACATGGAAGTTAGGATAACACATGATTAATTATGGGCTTCTACGAACCATAATCGATGGTCTATAGCATCGATAATCTAACAATCAAGCATTACTAATACTCGGGGTATGGATGGTTGATCATTCCCACTATACTCGTGTAACATCAATGGAGTATCACTAGAGGTAATTTCTTATCAGTATAGGTAATGCTAAGCGATATGCATATAGTACCATACATTACAATCACAAGCATCGATGATAAAGAAAAATTCATCCTATATAAACATAATTGACTAAAAATGGCAGATTGGTTACCGGTTATTGCATAACCGACGGTTATCAGATAACCGGTAACTGATTCGTTAAGGGGCGTGGTCGGTTGGCAGAGGTGCAAAGAGCAGCGTCGGTTAGTCGAGTAACCGACACCGGTTTACTGGATAACCGACATTCCTCCCTTTAGGTAACCAGTTCGTGGAGCAAGAGCAGGAGCGAGAATGAGAGTGGGAGAACGCCTATTTAAGAAAATTTTAATATTGAGAGAGTGAAAAAATTCTGATTATTATATTATTATTTTATAAAAACATGATAATTATCCAAAAGGTAAAAATTCCAGTGACGAAGAAGCAACCAAACTTCAATCCTCAACGTTCCCCTGTGATCAACTAACACATTATGTGATGTGTGCAATTAACAAATTGTCCAAGTTGGAAATCAAATTAGTCATTTTGTATTTTATATATTCCGTAGGGATTATATCGGAGTTTCACATATATATAATGAAACTAACTGACAACTGTAAGTTGTAATAATAGACTCCTTGAGCTAAAGAGTTTAAGGGAACAAAAAAGAGAGAAAAAAGCTATCCCCTCTCTCCTTGTTTTCCCGTTGCGTTTTTCTGGATGACCGTTGAGGGTGTGCGTCCCACAGAGGAGGGTCCGCCGCCGGATGGATCCCCGCCGCTGACGCCGATCCAACCAAGCAAGAAGGCGAAGGCAAGCACAAGTGGAGACTTCTCAGGGGAAGGCGGAATGGAAATCGACATCGTTACAGTTAGGACTAGAGAACAACATTAGGACAAGGATGAGAAAATGGAAACGACTAGCACTAGTGAGGAAGGGCGAGTCCCAGAATCGATACTAGCCAGCAATGTGGAGGGAAGAATGAAAGTCTCCTACAAAGATTCCTTCCTTGGGAATGAACCCCCTGCTGAAATTCTCCAAGATGATGAATTGATGTCTGGAGAATTGGAAGGAGAAGATGTTGAGGATGACCCCGAATGCCCAACAATCAGAATCAAGAAAAGCAAACACGCTAGAGTCAGGAATAGATGGAAAAGAGACATCACCTTCCGTGTTCTGGGTAGGACCTTTCCCTTTGCTTTCATTGACAGAAGGGTGCAGAAAATGTGGGCGAGAACTGGGGGATCAAAATTGGCAATATTGGGAATTGATTTTGATTCGATTAGTCATGCTATGGTTTGGGTCTGGCTCCCTCGCCTCCCACTTGCCTATTTTGATGAAGAGATTCGATATGATATTGGGGATAGATTGGGGAGAGTTGAAAAGATATATTACAATACGGCAAATGGATCAAGGGGAAACTATGCTCGTATTTGTGTGGAGATTGACTTAAGAAAGAAGCTTATCTCAAAATAAAGGTTCAATAGAAGAGTTTGTAGGGTTGAATATGAAGGGCTACATATGGTTTGTTTTGGATGTGGACACTATGGACACTTTGAGGATGCCTGTCCACATTGCGAAATGAATGATCGGATATCGCCGGAGGAGAAAACCAAGCATGACAACAACCAAGTACAAAAATAAGAGATTCGACTAGAGCTAAGTGAGGACTTCGGGCCATGGATGCTCGCGACCATAAATCAAAGAAAGCCAAAGCAGTAGAATATCCAGAAAGCAAGGAAGGGAAATAAAGGAAGACAAGACACCAGCTGCGGAGGCATCATGATCAAGGTTTAATGTGCTGAAAATGTGGCTGATAAGTAAGTAGAAACTAAGGAGGTTAATGAGCATATCGTCGGCCAAGAAGAGAAAGACTTCATCGAGTAGAAGAAAGGGACAAAGAAAGTTGAAAAGCATACCACAACAACTAATACAGGAAAAAAGACACAGCGAGAGAGGTAAAGGGGGATGTTGGAATGTGAACTGACAATAGCTTGGAGGGGAGAAAGAAGGATCGGGAACAAACTGAATAGGGCAAGAAGAGCCAGAATAACAAAAAAAAACAGAAAAACAACCAAAGGAGAAGTAGAGTACCTCCTCAAATGTGAAGGAAGAAAGGGGTGGAGGTAACTCTGTCCCTCGAAAGAGTGGCAAAACCACTCCATCATCTCCTAACATTAAGCAAAAAAGTAAAGCCAAGGATGGAGGCATTACTCCTACACAGGAAAAGCTTAAAGTAGGGAATGAAAGGGGGCAGGCTTCTAGTGCTCGAGCAGGACTCCAACCTAGAGGAAAGCAAGCGACCTTCTTTGTCGAAGGCAAGGAGAAGGCTAAGGAGAAAGTGTTGTCCCCAAAAAATGGGATAGTCCAGCCGAAGAAGATAAACTTTGATCTCAGCTTGAACATCAACTAAACGCCAGAAAATGCAGCCTTACCAAAGGGAAATGACCAAGGGATCGAGCCCGAAGGAAGGAAGATCGATAACTGAAATTCCTTGGTGATTGTACAGGTGATACCAGCCTTGGAGTTGAAGGATTGGCGAAAAGGATCGAAAACCGGGAGAAGAGGTGAAAAAACGCAAGTTCACGGCTAAAGGCAGGAGTTCACGGTCGTGCAAGACCGTGAAGAAGTGGAGTTGACCGTGAAGCGCAAGGCATCCAGACCCAACTTGAAGGTTACTGACGTGAGGCGAGTTCAAGGTCACTAAGACCGTGAACACAAGCAGTTGCCTGTAAACTGTCATGATCAAAGCTGAGTGTTTTAGCACAAGGCGTGAGTTCATGGACGCGTTTGAGGGTTCACGGCCGTGAACTCAGCACTTCTCGTGTTTAAAAGCTGAATTGCAAGAAAAGAGAAGGGAGAGCCACTTTTTGTGAGAGAAACACTTCTTCTGCATTCTAGTGAGAGAAACAGAACCAAAAGAGAAGAATGAGTTAGGGCTTGGATACAAGGGGTTTATGGGAAGATTTCCCCAAGGAAATCCCAGCTCAAGGTTGAAGAAGAGATGAGGCATCCCCACAAGATGGTTTCCAACTTTTTATCCTTTGTTCTTCCCACTTCTTCCATGGAGTAGTCCCCCTCCCACTTGGGTGTAGTGAAACCCTAAACCCTACTATGTAGTTCTTGTTTGTGGTTTGAATGATTGATATTGGGCATTGTTCAATTAAATGTTTGAGATATTTTTCACCATGATTTGGCATGCATGTGCTTAGCAACTTAGGGGCTGTGCATATTTTGTGCTTAGCAACCTAGGGTTGTGCATGTTTTGTGCTTAGCATCCTAGGGTTGTACAGAATTGTCCTTAGCACCTCTAAGTTTGTGCATTTAGGTGCTAGTAATCTAATTTGCCAACTTAGCCTAGTTTAGAGAGGAAAATCCCCCTTTTTAAAGGAGACTCAATCGAGTTGGTTTTCCTTCCGCTTTCCAAGCCCCCTAAACTAGGTTGAGTTAGGGCAATCCTTAATATTGAATTGAACAAGTTGATTGAGCGTGGTTAAAGCGTCCGACCTTAGAGTTGAGCAAGAAAGTAAGCCGATTACCGATTGTCTAAACCGAGAGGGTCGAGTGACACGACCTTTCATCCTCACCTCGGTTTAGCAATCGAGATTGTGGTCCCCAACCACATACGCTTTCTGCTGCGGTTCACGATTAACGTGCCCAAGGCAATCGTTCCAACCCACGTAGCATGGTAACGGTTTAGGGGGAAGCAAAACTCAAGTGACTCTCCCACAAAAGAGTTTTCAAACCAAATTACTTTTGCTTTCTTTCATTTCAATTGGAAAACGTATAAACTAAAGTTTTATCGCTAGATAATGATTTCAACAACCGAAGTAAGGGTAGATGGACCGGCCCGGGTCGATATATAGATACTTGCCCTATACTACACCCGATTAGCGTTTAAAAACTTTGGCTCTAATTGGGGTTCAATTGTAGTGTAGATTCGAGCGAGTCAAGTTTTTGGCGCCGTTGCCGGGGACAACGGTCTCTTATTCTGAAAAAGTTGTTGGTTATTAATCTAGCTTTTAATTTCAAGTGTTGCAAGTGTGTGTGTGTTCTTTGCTTGTGCCAGACTTGGTGTTTTCCGATTGTGTGTACGAGGTGCATGACCCGGAGCAACCGGTGCTCTTACTACCACTTGACGAGGACATTAACCGGACTCTCCGACTCCTAGCAAGGGAGAGAGAGCTAGCCGAGGCAAGGAGAAGGAGTCAAAGAGGGGGACAACAATCGGGTCCCGGTGTTAGTGGAGAAGTAAGTGAAGAAGTGGAAGTTGAGCCCATCATTGAAGAGTAAATGGCGGGGAACCAAAGGCAAGATGGAGCCTCTCAAGCCCGCCATATGAATGAGGAGGCGGGAGAAGAAGGAGCCCCGAGGACGATGGGGTACTATATGGCCCCAAGGTCGGCGGACATTCAAACGCCGATCCTACATCCTCCTATGGCGGCAAACAATTCCGAGATCAAGCCGGCTCTGGCGACTATGATACAAAGCAATGCTCTCTTCCATGGCCATGAGAGCGAGTCACCAGGAGAGCACGTGCAGAGATTCTTGGAGCTCGTGGGGAGCTTGAAGATTAATGGTGTGTCGGCCGAAGTTTTGCAACTAAGTCTTTTCCCATACTCACTCTCGGGGAAGGAACTTAGGTGGTAAACAATCGCCCACCTCGGTCCATCACCTCATGGGACGACCTCCTCAACAAGTTTATGGCTCGTTATTGCCCACCTTCAAAGACGGCGGAGTGGAGAAAGAAGATTACACATATCGAGCAAGAAGAGGACTGAACCTTGAGGGATGCTTGGGAGAGGTACTCCGATTACTTTCTTCAGTGCCCCCACCATGGGTTTGAGGAACTATTTCGGATTGAAACCTTCTAAGGAGGCCTAATGCAATAAGATAAAATCCACATTGACTCCTTATGTCAGGGGAAGTTGATGAATATGGCTCCGCCCCAAATTACCGAGATCCTAGAAGACATGGTCCTTGGGGGTATGATTGAGGCAAAGTTGGATAAGTTTCTTGATGTTATGCTTGAAGATAAAAGGCAAGAAAAACGGGCGGTAATGTCGTGCGAATGGTGCTCGAATACTAGCCACGAGATAGCGGAGTGCCAAGCAATGAAGGAGGCAACCACTCCGGGAACGATAGCTGCAACCACTACAAAGATGAAGCTAAGTCGATTGAGCACATCCTAAGAAGTTGCACCAAAGCGAAGGAGATATGGAATAAACTCAAAAATAAAATGAAAGAAAAGAAAAGAATGTGCAGCTACTGCTGGAAGAATGGCTCTTGAAGAATCGTATGGATGATGAGAAAGGGATCAACTTTGGGCTCATTTTTTGGCACCTCTAGAAGCATAGGAACGAGGAAGTTATGGAGGGGAAGAAGTTCTCTCTCCAAGGACTAATGTGCAGCATCAACGCAAGGTTTAACAGCATGAGGAATGCCCATCAGTACGTGGAAAACACTTCATTGAAGGCCAGGAAAGCTATCCAAACAAAGGGAATTTTCTGGAAACCACCACTTGTTGGGTGGATTCAGATCCAAAGTGATGAATCAGTCCACAATGGAATAGAGAAAGCTGCTCGATTACCTACGCTGAGCAGATGCAACCGAGCATTCATCTGCAATTTGGAAAGCTATTATATTACCTACGTTGATCTGAAAGGTGCTATTGAAGGCCTCAAGATTGCATGGGAAGAGGATATAGAAATATTGAGCCCAATCTTGACTCGGAGACAGCTATCTCCATCATTAGGAACAACGCGGATGATGATAATAGACATGGCCAGGTTGCTGCTTTGTTTCGCAGCCTTTTGAAATGGGATTGGGATATTAGAATCTCACATGTGTATAGAGAGTCGAATTATGCAGCTGATTACCTTGCTAGTTTAGGTCATGACTCCCCTTTTGGCACACATTTCTTCTATGTGTGCAACCCGGGACTTAGAAATTGGTTCTACTATGATATCATGGGCATTGACCAAGAACGTTCTATTAATTTAATGCACTTGATGCAATGCGTCAACTCTTCTACCAAAAAAAGCGATAAAGGGAAATTTTATTTATTCTCTCTAGTGGGGGTTCTCTTCCTCGTTTATCTCTATTCTCCACTTAACCCTTTTCATTGTTATGCCTCGTCAGAGACGTACTCCCGGGGGAAAGAGAAAGACGATGCTAAACCACTAATATATAATGCACTCCTACATATCTTCGATCCACTATGAATACACGAAAAAATGAACCACCATCATCTTCGACCATCTTGTTGATTATCGTTTTAAATCCCATCGTCATTTTGGCGTGCACGAAGCTACCATAAAATGCCCTTGCAGAGAGTCGAACTATCGCAAACCCAACTGGTCTATTTGGTTCCAAGCGGTGGAGAGAGCGGTGTGTATTTGGTGGCAGGCGTGGGAACAAGGAGAGTGGTACCTGCAGCAAATGGACGAGAGAAAGGGGCCAGAGGAAATAGCTGTTTGGGAACTATGAATTGAGCCGAGATAAAGGTAACTGGGCGGAATACACATTGAGCTGGACAAAATTCGGGCTCCACTTAAATTTAATTCATGCTCTATAATAAAGGAGTTTGCGAATTTTTTGGCCATCCCATATGAATTTGCGTTTCCACGCTCTAGAGAGGGAGCGGCGACCCAAAAATGGCTAACCAGGTTACCTAAGCCCTCCCCGAGTCGCCCAAAAGGGCTGCATTTGGGAGGAAAATATCCATAAAATCAGGCTCCTCCAACCGAAAATCCTAGTCCACTTATCCCTTGCCCCAGGTTTCATCCCTTCTCCAGCCTCCCCCACCGCTCAACCACTCCCGTCCCCCTCATTCATCCTTCGTCCTCCACCTCCGTCCTCGATCTCCACGTCCCGACCTCCGTCGCCCTCTCTGACCTCCGCCTCCATCTCTCCTAGAGAAACCAAGAAGGTGTCGGCCGCCGAGTTTGCGAGAACTGAACAAGGTGCAGATAGAGACAATCGCATGATTTGTCCATCTCCAAAGCAACTCCACCTGCAGCGTGCTCTTCCCCACTGACCACCGCCGCTCCTTCTTATTCGCGATGTGCAACAGTGGACTTCCTCGATTTCGTCTCTTTTTCTGGCGGCGACCGTGGAGGAGGTTTGGAGGGTAGCAGAAGCAGATAGAGGAGAGAAGACGAAATCCTGAGTTTTTTTATTGTTGGGTAAAAGGTGGGACAAGAGAAGAGAGAAGAAGAAGATAAAGAAAACGTGTGGGTGTGGTTCTTTTCTTCTCTTTCTTTCTTATAATTTTTTTAATTTTGTTTTTACTAGAAAATGTGTGGGTTTGGTTCTATGTTCCATGCCAGACTGAAATTTTGGTTCGGTTATCAATTTTAAGTGATTGAAAATCGACCAAAATTTCATTTTTAATAAACTCGGTTAATCGTGCTTATAACATATAACTAACTAGTTGGTTACGTGGTGGACCGAGTGCACCCGTTGGTCGGTGTTCCGCAGTCATTAGAGGGTCCCTCAGTTATCGGTTAAACCAAAACCGACCGAAATCTAGCCTTATCAATGACCATCATTGAAGCATCTAAACTAAAGCATCCATACATAGGCAATAGGCATCGAGATTCATATAGACAAACTCAAGCGTGAGATGAAATCATAGCATTCGTTCACATAACAATAAACAAGTTCACATCTTCATACAATCAATTTTGACTAGGTACATAGAAGAGAAGGAAGGTACCACCATTGGTGATGACACCATATCTTTAGCTGTAGATTTTCCTACAAAGACTATGTTAGAACTTATACAGAGTGTACGGATAATTTGTGTGTTTGTGCAGCCTTACTAAACTAATGAGTCATGCCCTCTATTTATAGGGAAGAACCCATTCTAAAGCATCCTAAACCGACTAGGAAAGAGTCTCTTTCTCCTCGTGGGCTAAGTAAACTATCCTAACAAGGTTAGGGTTTCGGCGGTGGGGCACCACCTCTCTTCTACTTCGTGGGTTGGGCTCCTTTGACCTTGGACGACTCCTACTTTCAATTTGGGCGTGTCTTGACCTTTCCTTCGTAGCGGTGATTGGACCCGATGTTGGGATGCCACTCGTTCTTTCTACAGGTTGGGCCGAGTTTTACTCCTATGGGCTTGTCATGAGGTTATTAAGCGACTTTTAGTTGACTTTTCCCTCTTTGGACCTCTTCTTTTCTCACGAAAGTCCATAATTTTTCTTGTATAGCTCCTTCGGTCCTCTAGAGTTTTCCAATGCTGGATCCAGTCTTCCTTAGGCTTCTTTGGACCTTCAAACCCATAAAAGAACATACACAGAAGGCATAAAAGAGTACAACATATCCTTGGTTTAGTAAAGGCCGATTGATCAAATAGTTTTGGTTTATATAGGAAATTCCATTTAAATAACCAAAGATGCTTTGAGAGAATGGAAAATTGTATCAATAATAGGAGTGACAAAAGCAATGAATAAAGTGTCACCAACCTCAATTAGATCCTCTGCGGCAAGAACCCAATGAAGAAGCAAATAACTTTTATAGACTTTTCGGCGAGACTCAAACGTAGACCTGGCAATCGGGTCGGGTTGGAAATCTCGAGTTACGAACTTTCATGGGCTGGTTCATGTTGGGTTGGTTGATTTCAGGTCAAATATTGACCCAATCCATCGGGATCGCGTCAGGTTTCGAGTAATTTCGGGTTATGAGCGTTCTTAGAAACAATATCAAACATGCTTTATAAATTTTAAAACAATACAAATTTTTACATTTGTGTGACACTAGTTTACCTAGCACATGTCAATTAACAGATTCTCAACTCCTTACATGCTAATGAAAATAAATATGAACGCACAAATCGTCAAAAAACTATCACAGAAGTAATACTACTACAATAACAAATGATGTTTGATTATCTTTGCACCCCAAACTTGTCTTTCATATCCTTATCAAATTTTTTAAGCATCTCACCAATTTATGAGTGATTTTATCATTTTGAGAGTGGCATATGCAATGGAACGGATCTAGCGGGTCGACCCACGAACCAACCCAACTCGAGCCAAAAACTACGGGTTAGTTGGGTTTGGGTCATTCGAGTTTCGTTTTATAAAAACCTCAACTCATATTCTATTTTTTGGACAGATTTGGGTCGGGTCCAAATTTGCCAGGTTTACTGAAACACCATTGTATGCATGGTGTGATAAAAACCTATCCCACCTATTTTCATTATTAAGTTAAATCACTTAAATTGGTCCATTCTTAGAGTAATACTTCTTTTACCCAAATGTTGAAGTTGCTTCAGTTGCATTTCTAATAGCGGCTCAGCCACTGCCAAAGAATTAATATGCAACAAAGCAGCTGATGAAAGTTCTTGGGCTCCACTACGAAGAAATATATGCTTGTGAGAATGATTGCATCATTTACTATGGAGAGCTAAAAGGGGAAACATCATGCACTATGAAGAAATATATGCTAGTGAGAATGATTGCATCATTTATTATGGAGATCTAAAAGGGAAAACATCATGCACTTCTTGTCATAAATAAAGATATAAGAAAGTTTACAAGGATTTAAAGGGGAGAGCAAAAATATGACGATACTTTCCCATTACAACGATACTACAAAGATTATTTATGTCTAGGAAAACTGCTGAAGATATGGTATGACATGTTGTAAAGCATACCAAGGATGGACTATTGAGTCATCCTGCTGACTGTGAAGCTTGGAGAGCTTTAGACCAATTTGGTGCATCTTTTGCTTCAGACCCTCGCAACGTCCGGATAGAATTAGCCAATGATGGTTTCAATCCATTTGCAAGTATGAACAACAAGCACATTACATGGCCATTTATTCACTTTCCATATAACCAATCCCGATTTAAATCCTAAAATCGTACAATTTTACTTACCTGTTCCGATTATGATTTCTCTATAAAATCTATGGACCTTAAAATCCTACACTATTCACTATTTAAATCCTTAAAATCCTTAAAATCTTACGATTTTATGATTCAAATCTTTGGGTCAATTGTACTTATTTTTCCAAAATTTGCAAAATTACCGTCACTTTTACGTCTCCTCCACCAATATCATCTAGTTCTCGCACACTAACCACCATCAACCATTATCAATTCACATCAACCTATTAATCATCATTGATTCACCACTTTCCAACATCAACCTTGATAAATTGGAACATTAACCTGTAGAAATTATTGTTGTAATTTTTATGCATTTTGTGTTATTCATGATTTTCCTTATTAATATTATTTTGTCTTCATTTTTTCCGTTGAATCAGTTGCTTTTGTATTACCAAAACTATATGCAATGTACTCATAGGAACCGATACAACAAAAGAAAAGCTCGATGTGAGCAGCCCTGTGAAACAATGAAACTCCCAAAAACCCCCCACATTCCTACAATGGACTCAACTTACAAGGACAACTGCACTAAGATCTGTTTGCAAACTACCATTCACACTACCCAGATACATTAAATAAAAAATGATCAAACGCCCGATACTAGCAGCATCCCTAAGAGGTATCTAATGTTGTATGTTGCACCGCTCATGCCACAAATAAGCTATGCAGGCACACCAGAATGCCCTGCAACTCTCCCAAATGGGGTCTTCCTATTACTTAAAGCAACAACAGCATTCACAGTGTCCTGCCAACTTCATCTGCATAATTAATGGGCATCCTTCCAACAAGAAACCACCTGCATTGAGTAATTACACTGGAAAAAAATGTTCTCTGGTTTCAACAGAGGATTGGCAAAGCAAACAAGCTCCATATTTTATCTTAACCCACTTTAACAGTTTATCTCGAGTGATGATTCCATCTAACAAGACAAGCCACACAAGAAAACTATTATTAGGTAGGTGACCTTTCCCCCAAACCAGACCTGCCCAATCCACCTTCTGGTATTCAGTTCGCAAAGTGTTCCAAACAGTAGACACTTTATACACATGCATCAACTTTCCATCCCAACTAGTTGTTGTACCAGACATCGTCAGATAAGCTAGAAGCAGAAGTCTGAGCTTTAGAACCCTTCTCCATGCCCACGAGCTACTGGGACTAATACTCATAGTCCAAATGCTAACTTGTTTCACCTTGTAACATGCCCTTCTCCATGCCCACATTTCATCATTAATAGCCAAATCATTCTGATAGAGCAGGCCCTATTCCAAGCTAAAAGATCTTTTATCCCTAGACCTCCTTCCACTTTCGGTCGAGCTAATCTATCCCAACCAATTTTTGCTCTACCCTCCTTCCCCACATGCCAAAGAAAGTTCGAGCACACAGTATACACTCTATTCAGTATTTTCTTAGGCAAAAGGAAGGCTTGCATCCAATACTGTAGCAATCCCATGATTACCGAGGTGATTAGTTCAAGCCTACCTGCAACTCAGCTGTTTGGCACGCCAGGTTCCAATTTTTGTAGTGATCTTTGCCACCAGCTTGTCACAGTCAGTAGAAGAAAGCTTCCTATAGAACAATGGAAGTCCCAAGTATCTTACTGGTAGTTTTCCCTCTTGGAATCCAGACATCTGCAAAGCATTACTTTTGAAGAGAACATATTGCCCACCAAAGTACACTTCACATTTGCTTGGGTTACACTTAAGTCCTGAAAGGATATAGAACTCATTCAAAAGCCCATGTACTCTACATATTGCTTGCGCAGACCCTTCTGTAAATGAGAAGGTCATTGCAAAGCATAGGTGTGTCAACCCTATGTTTTTGCACTATGGATGATAGACCAATGATTTTTTCTTTGCAGCTCTATTTTAAGGTCTTCATTTTTATATGGGCCTTAAAATCCTACGATTTTACGATTCCTATTTTACCCCCTTTCGGTTTTACATAAAATCCTGATTTTGACTGCTATGCATATAACCTTTCACCTTGAATGTTCATGAAGAGTTTATGTTTATTCTTGAGTTTACTCATTCCTGATACAAAAGACCCATGCAATAATATTGATGTTTATTTGAGACCTCTCATTGATGATCTGAAGGCATTGTGGAATGATGCGTTATGACTTATAATACATTCGAGAAAGTGAAATTCAACATGAAAGTTGCAGTTTTGTGGACTATCAATGATTTTCTAGCTTAAGGTTTCCTTTCTAGTTGGAGTACAAAAGGTAAATTGGCATGTCCTTCTTGCATAGATAAAACGTCACATTTGAGGTTAAAGAATTAAGACAAAGTATGTTATATAGATCATCGTCGTTATTTTCCATCGGATCACAAATGGCGCAAGTAGAGGAATGAACTCAATGCCATGACAGAGAAGAGAGTTGCACCATAACGTTTATCGTCTCTAGATGTATCATATCAACTTATTGTGTTAGATACAACAACTTTTGGCATAAAGGGAAAGAGTAAAAAAGATCAATGGGTTTGGAAAAACTCATAATTGGAAAAGATGTCTATTTTCTTTGAATTGCCATATTGGCCTTCACTCCTAGTACGCCACAATTTTTTTACCTGATAATTAGTCTTATCATTAAGCTCACTCGATCAAGTCGCACAAAAACTCATATATACATCTTACAACAAAACTATTTGAAAAAGCTAGAAGTGCAAATGCAAGTTTCCAATAATACTACTCTGCTACAAGACTTCTTTAAAGAAAGTGTCTCCAATTGCTAGCAGCCTAATCTCCTCACGCGGTTGCAAGAGAATCAAATTCCATGGTTTAGCCTGCTCTCCTAGCACACGTCTGCAACGTTCCTTCCAAACCAAACTACATATCCAGCACCAAACTACACTAACAACAGTACCTTCTATACCTTTCTTCGAAAGTGCATAGAGCTCCTGCAACAGCTGCTCCCAATCAGTCCCCCAGCTTCGAAATGCGCGGCCGAAAACTGCTGAAAAAAGACTTTCAGCATACTCACATTTACAAAATAAATGAGATCAACTCTCCTCCTCCTTAGAATACAACACACACAGACACACACACTGCATCTCTCGTTACAATGCAATTTAAAATGATCAGCCACACTATAACCATGTTCCTTGGAAGAGTAAACCTGCCCCATATGATCTGCCACCAGGGAACTGAAGATTTGTGGACTCTAATTGATTCCCAAACCTGTTGCACTGAAAACTTGTGCATAACCTTGCCTTCCCAGAGAACATTTTGCTGAGTATCGACTGTCATTCTGTATTGGAACCATCCTCTAAGCTTTAGTAATTGTCACCAAAGCCAAAAACCTGTCATAGTAGGCTTCAGCTCCTGAATAGAATGCGCTTTTAGCCTGTAACGCCCTATCCATGCCACCCAAAAGCTCCCCTGCATGAAAAGCATCCACAAGAGGCGAGCTATGCAAGCTACGTTCCAGGTTCAAAGGTCTTGTAAGCCCATACCTCTCTCTCTCTCTTTTTAGCACAACTAATAGATCCCAGGTAACCTTCGCTTTTCCTGTGCCTTCTCCAAACCATAAGAAGTCTAAACAGATCGTATGAATACGCTCAATTACCTTCTTAGGTAGAACAAATATAGTCATGCAATACTGGAGAAGAGAATATAAGACAAAAGAGACAAGTTGGAGGCGCCCCGCATAGGACAACTTGCATGCCCTCCATCCCCTAATCCGACTAGTTAATCGATCAACCAAAATTTCACAATCTCTGTTATTAAACTTGCTAGAGATCATAGGTAAATCCATATAGCGAACAGGCAAGTGACCCTCCTTAAAACACGTAAGAAGTAAAGCATTTTCCTCCTATTGGATGGCCTGACCGTCAAAAAACATTTCACATTTATTTGGATTGCACTTCAAACCGGACATCCAATAAAACTACGCAAGCAAGCCCTTTACTCTGTTTATTGCTCTTGTCGATCCCTCAGCGAAGTTGAGCAAATCATCCGCAAAACATAGATGCGTCAGATTTAACTCCTTATAGTGAGGGTGATTGGGAGACTAAGTTGTTGAGTTGTCTCATCAAGCAAGCCAGTTAGCGGTTCTAAGGCAATTGTAAACAGGTATGGGGAGAGGGGATCTCCCTGCCTAACTCCCTTCTTAGCTTCAAAATTCCCAAGCAGAGCACCAAATAAACTCACACTAAAGAAGGCAGTACTGAGACAAGCACGAATCCAACTCATATAAACCTCGAGGAAATCCATAGCTTGCATTACCATAAAAAGGTACTCCCAATCAATCGAGTCAAAATCCTTTTGGAAATCTAACTTTATTGCACTTCTAGAGGCAATGTTTCTATTGGAGTAGTTCTTAACCATTTCTTGAGCCATTAAAATGTTATCAAGGATACTTCTGCCTTTTATGACTGTAGACTGATTCTGACTTATGACACAGGGAAGAACTTGTTGAATTTTATTTGGTAGGACTTTGGATGCAATATTATAGAAAATATTTATACAAGCAATAGGTCCAAAAGTTGTCAACCTATCTACATTCAAAGTCTTAGGTGCTAAATTCAATGAAGCAGTTAGACTTGGCAATCAGGTCGGGTTGGGTAATTTCGGGTTGGAAATTTCGGTTACGGGCCGGGTCATGTTTGTTTGGCTTATTTTGGGTCAAATATTGACCCAACTCATTCGGTTTCGGGTTGGGTTACAGGTCATTTCGGGTTATGAGCGTTCTCAGAAACAATATCAAACATGCATCATATTTTCGTTAAAAACACAAATTTTCACATATGCATGACAATAGTTTACCTAACACATGTCAATTAACATATTATCAAATCCTTCCACGCTAATAAAGCAAAATATAAATTGCGCGAATCATCAAAAAACAATCACAAGAGTAATACCACTACAAGAAACACATGATATTTGATTATCCTTAAACTCCAAACAAGTCATTCAAATCCTTGTGATTTTTTTTAAGCATCTCACCAATTTATGAGTGATTTTATCATATTTTGGGAGTAATATATTAAATGGAACGAGTCTAACGGTTCGACCCACTAACCAACCCAACCTAACCCAAAAAATCAGGGGTTGTTAAGTTTGAGTCATTCGGATTTTAGGTTACAAAAATTTGTAGTTTTCGGGCGGTTTTGGGTCAGGTCAACGGGTCGTGTTGTAATTTGCCAGGTCTAGAAGCAGTGTTCATACCTCTAGGCATGGACTTGGAGTGGATAAGGAAGATGTACGCCACAATTTTATTCTCGATAATTGGAACATTCTTATTAAGCCCTCTTGACTAAGACCAGCCAAGCATCGAAAATAATACAAGTCTAACTAGCTGGGAAGACAGGGCTCCGCCAGCAACTCTCAAATGAGAAAACCACTATTTGCAAGATCTGAACAAAAATCGCTATTGCCTAAGCTATACAATCTGATATCCTCGCGAATAGCACTGATTAGCGCACAATAACTACTGTGATTACCTCTAAACACCCTTGAGCAACGCTCTTTCCAAATCATGCTAATAATCCAACACCAGACAACGCCAAACACTCGGCCAGCAGCCCCTGACTTACTCACCCTGCTGCATATATCTGCTAAACAACCAGACCAGTCTCTTCGCCAACTGCACCAGGTATCACAAAGCAAACCTGAAAAGACCTTAAGAGAATACTCATAACAGCAAAAACAAGTGATCTCGAGTCTCTTGCTCAACTCCACATAGGAGAAGAGAATCTGAGTCAATAATCCCCCATTCAAGCAGCTTATCATGCGGTCTTATTCTGTTTTAAAAGATCAGCCAAGCCAAGAATCTATACTTTTGAATACAATATTTTCCCCACCAGAAATTATACCATAAGACAGTTGGACCTCTCTCTCGAATAGACTTCCAGATGGTTTTGACAGAAAATTTCGTCATTAACTTCCTTTCCCGTAGAATCTGCCCAACACTTTGAACCGTAAACCAAAATTGAAACCAAGATCTCACTGAAGCATTCCTCTCCAAACTCCAGAACCAGTAGAACTTCTTTTAATGATGAAATTTTCTGTGATAGTATTCTTGGCACAATTTTGATGTTGTGCATATAGAGAAAATTTTCTTTGATAGTATTCTTGGCACCATTATGAATATTGATGGCAAAACAAAACATGGTCTAAGTGTCTGTCGTGATTTGGAGGAGTTGGGTATAAGAAAAGAACTTCTCATATAGAGAGAATGTGAGAATAGAGTTATCGAGCTTCCTATAGCTTGACAATGGATGAGAAGAAGACTTTGTGCCAATTTCTATCAAAATTAAGGATACACGATGATTACTGTGCAAGTATGGCACGTTATCTCAATGTTGACGATCAAAATATTTTGGGATATTATTACTGCTGGCAGCCCGTGACTTATTTCCAAAGTTAATATATGATGCATTGATTGAGTTCAACAATTTTTTCATGGAGTCACATATTTCCACAATCATCTGTAAAGGTATTATCATTCAACTATTTTAATTATATCACTAACAATTTACAGCAATAATTATAAATACTTAATTCATATTTTTTATACAATATATGTACTTGAAGAAGTTAAAAAGGTTATGTTCGTAACAAGGCGCATATAAAGGGATCCATCATTGAAGCTTATATTGGTGATGAATGTGTTGCATTTTGCTTACATTACTTGACTAGAGTGGAAACGATTTTAAATCAGCTAGAGAGAATGAAGATAGATTTTCGTCTCATTCTTAGCCTCATGAGTTACTGTTGTTCTAGGTGTCGATTGTGCTATTGGTGTAAAGGACAACATAAGAGACATGAATAAAAATATTTTTTAATGAATCGAAGAAGTTTCATACAAATCAGTTAATAAAATCTATTTTATATGCATGTTATAAATATCACAAGGAACTGTTAAGTACTCAAGGTACTGGTATAGTTGAAGAAGTGCATAAGCAGGAATTCTCTAAACTGTTAAGTGCTTCTTATCAGAGGTACTTCACATATAATTAAACATTAAATTGGATATATAAATTGTAAAAGAGCTTTCTAATTGAATCATTTTTTAACAATTACTGCATATTACAAGAATGCACAATGACAATTGCACTACACAAGTTATTGCATCAATGGATTCAGAATTCACACTAGAGAACAAGAGACAACCAAAATGAGTCAGAACAATTGTGTCTTGGTGAGAGGGGAGAACGATTGTGGAATTCCTTATTATGTGTTCTCACTGATAACATTGAGCTTTGTTATACGGAAAGGCTTCGAGTTGTGCTATATCAATGTAAATGGTATGAGAATGACACAGCTCGAGAAGGTGTTGGTTATAAGAAGGATGGACATGGTTATTATGTGTAGTCTTTGAGAGATCCTGTTTGGGAAACCGTTGTGGAAACAAGACCAAGAAATTTACCAAGAAGACAACATTTTCATTGATCCTCAAACTATCCAAAATGAGGGAGATGATGAAATAAACTGGACTCGAGCACGGTTTGAAGATGAATAGTAATTTAATTTTGTGATATTCTAATTTTATATCGGAACATATCACTTTCTAGTTTTCAAAAACCATTGCTTATTGTAACACCCTAACCCGGCCGGGTACTACTTTTACTAAAATGCCCTTGACAAATAAAATACTCAAATCTTAAATTGCAGAGGGAAAAATTTTCATAAATAAAATACTGAAAACACACTTGTAGTTCCGAGCAAAGCCCTAACACGTGGGAAAATTAAACTCAAACTTTAAATCTCAATCTGATCTCCAGTCTATACTCATAATCATAAATGTAAATAACTGATACTCTATCGTTGCTGCTACTGAAAATCTTAACTAGGCATCCTCCGTGACGCTTGCACCGCCCTCCTCTAACTGGTTGCCCTCAAACTTTTCCTCGCGAACTCGCTGCTCTCTAACTGCTCCTCTAGCTAGCTGCTACTGAACTGGTTCTCGCTCATTCCCTTACTAAGGCCTGGTGAGTGATTTGGGGTCAGTCTACGCCCTTACGTTTTAAACTTTCTAATAATTTTGCACTTCTTCTCAAACACTTAAACTCAAATTGAGGGAAGTTGTTTGTACTTCCATTCTTAAAAATCTTAACTCTTAAACTTTGAGGGAGTTGAAGTTACTCTCCTCTCTTAAAGCTCAAATCTTGACTTAAATACTTGACTGACACGGGGATCCCTCACTAGCTAGTCCGGTTGCCAACTCATACGTATGAGAAGCCATCCAGGCTTTCCTTAAACTTAAACTTAGTTAGGGGAGTCGTAACGATTCATCCCCCTAACATCTTAAACTTATCGTGGTGGCTCTTCACCACGATTCTCAAGAGCATAACTGTTGCTCATCTTAAAAGTCTCAAGAGCATAACTGTTGCTCTGTCTCAAAGATCTCAAGAGCATAACTGCTGCTCTATCTGAAAATCTCAAATGGCAATGGACTGGTGCTAGTGACTAAAAACACTTAAAACGACTTCACCTTCTTGAAGGTGAGTTACTTCTTAAAAAGACCTTGTTTCTTAAACTTTAACAATAACTTATACTCATAAAATTTTCAAGGTAAATAATAACCATTCACTTCAAGTCATAAGTCAAACAAGGCACATATCATCAACCATAATCAAAAGCAAGCACACAATTTCACATAAAACAATTTCTTAAACACGCAAGGCAGATACTTGAAAAATACGTAAGGCGTAGAATTTACCCCCTTTACACTCACCTTACTTCTGTCGGAACTGGCTCTGATTTTTGCTCCAATGATTTCATACTCGCTTCGAAAATAATAGGACACTCCTACTTGCTTGAATAAAATGGAGCAGCTTGCCTCGGTGGGATGGCAATAACAGTGGACCAGCTTGCTTAACAATAGACCAGCTTGCTTCGGTGGGGCGTGCTTGCTTACGTATTTTTCAAGTATCTGCCTTACGTGTTTAAGAAATTGTTTTATGTGAAATTGTGTGCTTGCTTATGATTATGGTTGATGATATGTGCCTTCTTTGACTTATGACTTGAAGTGAATGGTTATTATTTACCTTGAAAATTTTATGAGTATAAGTTATTGTTAAAGTTTAAGAAACAAGGTCTTTTTTAGAAGTAACTCACCTTCAAGAAGGTGAAGTCGTTTTAAGTGTTTTTAGTCACTAGCGCCAGTCCGTTGCCATTTGAGATTTTCATATAGAGCAGCAGTTATGCTCTTGAGATCTTTGAGACGGAGCAGCAGTTATGCTCTTGAGACTTTTAAGATGAGCAGAAGTTATGCTCTTGAGAATCGTGGTGAAGAGCCACCACGATAAGTTTAAGATGTTAGGGGGATGAATCGTTACGACTCCCCTAACTAAGTTTAAGAAAAGCCTGGATGGCTTCTCATACGTATGAGTTGGCAACCGGACTAGCTAGTGAGGGATCCCCGTGTCAGTCAAGTATTTAAGTCAAGATTTGAGCTTTAAGAGAGGAGAGTAACTTTAACTCCCTCAAAGTTTAAGAGTTAAGATTTTTAAGAATGGAAGTACAAACAACTTCCCTCAGTTTGAGTTTAAGTGTTTGAGAAGAAGTGCAAAATTATTAGAAAGTTTAAAACGTAAGGGCGTAGACTGACCCCAAATCACTCACCAGGCCTTAGTAAGGGAATGAGCGAGAACTAGTTCAGCAGCAGCTAGCTAGAGGAGCAGTTAGAGAGCAGCGAGTTCGAGAGGAAAATTTCGAGGGCAACCAGCTAGAGGAGGGCGGTGCAAGCGTCACGGAGGATGCCTAGTTAAGATTTTCAGTATCAGCAACGATAGAGATTATCAGTTATTTACATTTATGATTATGAGTATAGACTAGAGATCAGATTGAGATTTAAATTTTGAGTTTAATTTGCCCACGTGTTAGGGCTTTGCTCGGAACTACAAGTGTGTTTTCAGTATTTTATTTATGAAAATTTTTCCCGCTGCAATTTAAGATTTGAGTATTTTATTTGTCAAGGGCATTTTAGTAAAAATAGTACCCGGCCGGGTTAGGGTTTTACACTTATTATATCTTCCACGTTATTAGTCACTTCTATGATTATATGATACCTTCAATATTATCAACAGAGAATGGATTATTGCAACAAATAATCTTCTACTCGTCACAAACAGCAAACATTTAATTTATAACACCATGTGCGCTGTCACAAATAATCTTTTTATTTTTTGTGACAAAATATCAATGATGAGTGAATAATTTTCGTCGGTAATACTCAATATTTTTGACGAATTAATGTATCGTCAATGATATGAACTTTTATGACAACTTATGACCGACGACAAAACAAATTCGTCAGAAATAATTTTTTTTCTTGACAGACAGTTGATCACCGTCAATAATAATGCTTTATTCCGACATTAAATTCATTTTCGTCAATAATATTGAGTGCTACTGACACAAAATGATAATCATCGCATATAATAACTGTTCGGAATTGAATCCTCTAGAAAATCTTCTTCTCTGGCAGAAAATCTAATAATTAAAGACGATAATTTAATATTTTCAGTAAAAAGGTTGATTTTTTTATAAAGGTGATAGATTAAATTAAAACGAAACAAAATAAACAGCAGTACAAGAGTCCAGGGTACTCATGGCAGAGTCAACAAGCTGTCGAGCTGCTACCTAAAAGAGCACGAACACCAAGCATGCTACCAAACACGCTAAGCGGACCAGGCCGCTCCTGCGAGACAAAAGGGAGAAGAAACTGAAAATGCTAACAAAGTCTCGGCACGAGACACAGAAAAAAAGGACGCTAGACGAACCCGCACGCCCCTGCGTGAGAAGAAAAGAAAGCAGATAACCGGAACCAAACAACAAAGCAATCTCCAGATTGCGACTTCTGTTTTTTTTTTTTTTATGGTTGATATTACTAACGACATATGTTTTTTGTCAGAAAGTTAGACTTTTTCCTAACTTGAATTTAGTGTAATTAGTAAGTTCTCGTTAGGCAATTATGTCTTTATTATAGTGGTTCAGAAAGGTAAGCATGAGGAGTTTTATTGGCAAAAACGGATTTTCCTTTCTACACTCATCATCCAAAAAGGTAATAGCCACGACAAAATCCCTCAAATCTCTATTACTTGCTATAGTTATAAGTATATGATCACAAGATCTCCTAAGTCAAAGAAAGATCAAAAGAAGTATCTCCCAAATCAAAGGAAGATTAAAAGAAGACGGTTGTGCCAAATTGAAGTATAAATATGAGGGAGCAACAAGACAAGACTCACGAAATGTGGCAAAACAATCTTACACAAAGCAAATCAAACACTCTATGATTAGCAATAGGTGTATAAGAAGTGATAGTTCTTCACTGTCTGTATTGCTTGAGTGTTTGCAAGGAGCCATTTTGTCTAGCCATTCTGCCTCGAGTCTGGTGATCGCTTCAGTAGAAGAACCACCTGTATAAATTTATTTATCAAATGTTGGTCGAAGGGTCTATTTATAACTCTTTCCATAAGGTTTTCCAAGATATTGTCTAGGAGAGAAAGTCTCCAGCTCTCATATCTTCATAATATCTCCTACTAAGCCTCGAAGTAAAGAAAACCCATTCTAATCCGAGCTAATATGGACCTTATGGAATATGGCTCTCGGGGCGCCATTTAGGGTTATGTTGACTAAAGGGCCGCCATTTTATGAATTGGTCTCAAACTTATTTCTGACTTCCAACAGCTAGATCTTGATGTCTCCAGCTCATACAAGGTGGTCTACTAGAATTATTATTCTTGATTGCAAAGTTTTAGTGGGACCAAAAACACTAGGAAACACAAATTCATTGGATCGATTGGGAAGCTTTATGTTATCATAAGATGTTGGAGGTCTCGGCTTCAAAGATCTGAGGTTTATTAGTACAACTATGTTTTGGGAAAACAAATCTGGAACATAATGAACATACCTTATCCTTTGATGATGAGAGTCTTTTAAGCCAAAAATATTTCTCACTTTCACACATACTAGAAGCTCATCTCGGAATCAACCCCAGCTAATCGATAGGAGCTTGATGAGAGCTAAGGAAGAAATTGTGAAAGAGTTCCATAGCGGATCGAATGGAAAGAAAAATTAACATGTGTAATGATGGACGGGTTTCCATCAAGAAAAAATTAAATTATAAAAAGTATATGTACTAAATTGTAATATGTCAACCATCCATGAATTACTAATTCAAATGGATTGGATAAAATATATATTGTAATGGATTGGATATCAAATTGGCACTGAGATGAGCAGCAAATCGTATAATGATACAGAAAATTCAAGTAATTCATTGAGATTTGAGAAGACCGCTACTGTGTCTGTTAGTTAATGGTTAGTTGACAGACGTACTACATCTACATGCACTCCACAAATTGGTTGCTATTACGCGTCTTTTCATTCCCATCTTAATTTGATTTTGATTGTGATAAAAAAAAATTTGATTACACAAAGTGCAGGCCGGCCGTCTCTATTCCTTTCAACTTGGAGAGATTTTATGCTAATTAATTAAGAAAACCAATCATTAATGAAACCCATATTTATACGTGTACGTATATACGTAGGCATGTATTCCGTTTTAAAATCCAATTAATCTCTATTTCGCTAGTTGCATAAGCCATGCGGAATATATACAGTTTAATCATCATTATAAGTTTGACGAAATTGGTTGGTACCGGACAATATGGAGATCTGGACCACAAATATGTTATATCCATTAAATTTGTTATTAGCTTCCAAAGAATAGAGCTGTTGATTAGCTGTTGTTTGTAGAGATTTAATAGTAAACCCCCAATTAAGTGATCTGACGGTTTAGAGGGGACGAAGTTGATTCAACAAAGTTTTAAGGTTAATCTCTGAGGTGAATCATATCCATCACTAGAGCAAACCGACTCTTATTACATACATCTTACATCTGCTTAGGAGTGATTTTCTATATGTTTGGTTTCACATGCAATGATCATCTCACCCACATCTAGAGCGATAGAAACTTTGTAGCGGATCACCTTACGTACTCACAAGGATCGCGACCTACATAGAGGATACCATGTTAGTGATAGTCCTGATTCCATTCTAGCATGTTGGTTATTGTATACAAAATCGAAACTTTTGTAACTCCTTATGATTAATGGTACATTTTAGTACTATGTTAGTGCGCCCTTTAGTGACTATGATGTTATGTCTTTTTATTTATTTTTTTGAATGAAAAAGTGAGGAATTGTTGTAATATATCAGCATTTCTTCTGATCAAAATATTATTTACTTTAGACCTAATCTTGAATGATTTTATTTGTGGGTGTACCATGATTGTCAATCTCAAGTGGTCACTCATCTCAACAATGTTTCACTATATCTTTAATTATAGAGTTTTTTCAAAAACTATTCTATTTCACCCTAAAACGTGTGTTATTAGTTACAATTTTTTTTTTCCTTATGACTCATAGATCTCACTCATACGTGAGATTTGTCGTAAATTGTTACCATAGTCAAAGTTTCCCCTTTTTTTGAAAAGTTACGTATTGGTAAGGGTTGAGATTTGTGGTAGGGATATAAACTAAGATGCCATCTATGTGGGGAATGATTTAGAAAACAAAACTCACGAGGCGGAGACAGGGAATGCTTGGTTGGTTGTTCTCCTACCCTCCAACAGAGAGCAAATTCCCAGAAAACAACATAAATACCTCGGACGGCCCGACGAATCGCTACGACCCAGAATTCTGTCCTGGCCGGACTACCCTACTGCACCTCAACTCTTTCGTATATATGTATATGTATGAAGTATGAACCATATCAACATCGGGTTCACGTCGGCTCTTCCGTATGTTAATAGGTGTTTTATATTTGATTGCTACCACTAATATCTGTAAGCGATGTTAATTAGCTGTCCTATAATTATAATTTATCATCGGCCTCTTGTTTAGTTAATCCACCCCCTCTCTCCCTATATATATAATATAAAATATACAGTATGGAGATACACGTATATGTGAGATGGAGATGAGTAGAGTATGTGTAAATTAATAGGGTAGGGATAAAAAGGACCTTTTATAAGATATTATGAAGGTGGGAAGAGAAAAAGGAAGTGATCGACTTTATGGGCCAAAAAAATGCAAGTTCATTGGGAACATGCTCTGGCCCTTCTGCCCTCCCTAGGCCTCTAAAAGAAAGAAAGTAGTTAGCTGGATGGGATGACTCTGTCTCACCTCTTCCTTTTCAATAATACATTTATATATTCTGCATGCTTTCCCTCTACCCTCTATGTCTCTAATTGTTATTTGGCTCTTGTCTTGCGATGGCAATGCGTCAAATTGAATCGAGTTTTGTCAAATTCAAACTCAACCTAACGAGTATATTCAAAAAAAATTTAGAAAAACCCAGTAGGTTCTGGAACCTCAAATTCAAACCAACTCATTGGATATCATGGTTATAATGTCGGTGGTATGCCGACTAGTTGAATTGTCGTCATGAAACCGACGTGAAGACTACTAGTATGACCGGTATTATAAATTTACAAATTCTAAACAAAATGAAATCATTTTAGTGAATTTAATTAATATAAGTATTTATTTAATATTTATATCATGAATTTAAAAGTCAAAAGTTGATGTTATTTGTTGGATTGTAAAGAAATTATCCTCAAATATGTTATATATAAATGATTGAATTTATTGTATGTTAATGATTTTCACATTTTTACCTATTTTGTTTAATCGACACAAACCGATTGTACCACCGATTGTACCATTCCACTTGCCAAACCGGCACAACGTACAAACCAGTTTGACCTTGTTGGGTATTCATGGGTTCATGGATACCCATGAGTTCTTATGGATAAAAATGCATGACACCAATTTTCTATTAAAATAAAAGGCTAACACCAATATGTCCATACAAATTATCCTTACAAGAAGCACTCATCTAATCAAGGGCAGGCCCAAGTTGATGAAGGGTTTATCAACTGACGAACCTTATGTCCAAATTTGAGACAAAAATTTATGGGAAATGTTGTTGTAGTGATGCAAAATTTGGATTCAAAACTATTCCACAATCCTTAATAATTTTTATATATCGTTGAATACCCTTGATAAAATTCTCGGGTAGGCCATTGAATATAGTACATACAAGCACACCCATAAATTATTTATAATTTTTTTGAATATTAAAGATAAACATTCACAAACAACACGGATTGTGGGAGTAGGATGTGGGTGGGTATCGATGAGTTGGGTATTACCTAAATCTGAACTCAACCCGAATCTGGCCGCAATCTGTCAACGCGGGTTTTACTCACTTTGACAGGGTTAGATCGGATAAAGTACTCGTGGAACTGGATTTTATTATCATCCATATTCATCCGTCACATTGTGGATTTGGGTTTTATTGTCATCCCTATTCACCCGTCACATGTAATTAATGATATTGATCATCCGGGAATACTGCTTTTAATGTATAACAAAAATGAGAATACGGAGGTTGTTGAAAATGGTAAATGACAGATGGATCTGTGCTTCAATTATTTCAGTTAGTTGAATTGGAAACTTTTCTCTTTGCTTTTATTGGAAAATTATAATTCTTTCAACTGATTGAATGGCAAATAAATTTTGTAGCCATTTTGATTTTTCAAATCTCTCACCTATTGCATACTTACATGGCAATGGGGCGGGAAAGTACGGAATGCATACCAAAATATCCATACCTACTTTGCAATAAGGGAGTGTTAGGTCGGACAATACTCGACCTATTCATATATGTTATTTACAAAAAGAACGTTAATATTTAATCCTTTTACAAGAATGCATGAAAAAAACACTTAAAAATAATGACATGTAGATATTGATGCAAATAATGACAGATGAAGATAAAAGGGGACGGGGCAGGTCAAGGCATTGGAAATATCTATTTGGTTACAAAATGTTTTAGTTTGGAGCTGTTACAACATGTAAAATTAAGGTAAAATTATTATTCATATTTATGATGACCCGTAGGAATATCTATTCTAGACCCTTGTATTATGATCAAGAGTGCATAAGTTCCTATCATTATCGTCATAAGACATTGGATTTGTACTATGATTGCTTCAAGTGAATTCTAGCAACCATAGGATTGCTTTTGTACGATTGCTACGCTTTTGGTAGCGTTTTGTGCATTTTCAGGTCAAAGCATACTAGTGGACCACTTGGCAGCCGTAGGGGACATCGAGATCTAGTTGCTGGAGCTAGGATTCAAAGAGAGGATGCCTTGAAGAAATGGCACCCAAAGCGCCATTTTGAGGATGGAAAACCGTACCATTTCTACCATTTCACATAGCTCAACCACTTCGTCAAAACGTTATCCCAGAGCATCCTGATTTGCTGGCTACGTGTTTGGAGGCTTCTAAATGGCTAAATGAGTTGAGCTACAACGCCATCTCCCTAGAAAGCCTAATCAAATGCCTATAAATAGGTGTCTAGAGAAAGTAATCGAGGAGAGGAGACGAGAGGTTAAGAAAGGGTCGTTACTTTGCCGACAGAGCAACCCTCCCGAACTCGAACAAGACCAACCTTCAAAGAGAAATGACGCTAGAAATGCGCCCCTGGACATGTTTTCTCTGTTGTTGACAACGTTTCTTATGGGCATTCTGTGGTCTTTTATCAATGAACACCCAGGAACCTTTCCCCATGTCTGGCTAAGTGTTTTAGTTGCGTAGGTATGTGAACCCTAGGGATTCTAACCATGTAAACTCGATGTTTGGTTTAATAAGATTGTGGTTATTTCATATATATTGATGTTTGATTTCCTCTATTTTGTTATTTGTCTATTCAAATGAGAGCATAGTCGACCTTGTACTCCTTTAAGGTGCAAGGATCAAAATCCTAGTTGTTTAGGATGAGACTAGAAACAACAGTCCTAATCGATCGAATGACGTGACATCTCGAGGGAGAAATCTGAAGGGCCCTTGTCACTCATTAGTTTGGGTAAATGCTTCGAAACAAGGTGGGATCTAATGAAATAAGAAATCGGCAGCTCGTATGCCATCGATCATCGAGGGACGCATGGTTAGGAGACCTAGGGGAACTTGCCTATACAATGCTTTACTTCTCTAATCTCTCACTCGTCCATTAGCGTAGATTTAATTTTATGCATCGCGTACTTTCGAACTCTTACGTTCAGCAAAACTGGAGGCATCTCAACCTCCTAAACCAACTTCTTCTTCAACAGAACCGTATCTCACTTTCAGAATAAGAGTTCTGCGAAAGGCCCTAAGGAAATAGATCATGGATTTAGGGCCACGTAAATTTTCCTATGTTCTACAATAGATCAAATTAGATAGTATTATTATAAATGGTTTGTATCCTATATTTATTACAAAATAATTTTTCCGTGTTAGTTTTATTATGACAAGAAATAAGATAATGAAAATGTAAGAGCAAAATATTAGCATTATACATATAACTCATTCAAAAATAACTCATCAAAAAATTATAATATAAAATTAAATATTTAGAAAGGTCTACATTATCACATATCTTTATTTTTTCTGTAATTAATATATTTATTTCTCAAATGTCTATATTTGTACAATTAACTCATTTGTAAATAGATAAAGCAAACAACCCCTTAGTATCAAATCGTTAGGTTCATTGTATTACTCTAGAATGAGACTTAGAATTAGTGGCACGTCAACTTGGTAGCAATGTGCACTCCGATGTGATAGAAAACTTTGTTATTTAGATTGTTTTCAAATGATATTAGCTCCTAGTCGAGGTTTAGAATTTAGGACAGTTCCAAGTAGGACTAGGCATTTGGTTTGCTAAATCAAACCAACCAAATTCCGAACTGATTGAACCTAAAAATCATTCGTTAGTTCGAAAACCAGTAGCAGCTTAACCAAAATATGGTGTTTGGTTCAGAACATTATGAACCAAACCACAAAACACGCTATCGAACTACCAAACTACCCTCACCCTAGCTGTCAAGGTCCATGTTTCAAGCCCAACTCTAACCCAATTACGCCACCGCCAAATCCCTAAATGATGAATTTTTGCCTCTCCTTGATTCTCTATATTGGTCTCCAAATCTAATTATGAAACTCCTCTCTTCCAAGCGACATCCACCATCTAGTCCACCATCCACTTGCGGTCAATCTTCGTCCACCCTCTCTTTTTGGCAGACGATGGCTCCAAAACACCCAGAGTCCCAAACCTGATGCTGAGATATGAATATTCATTGCCAAGACATAAACCTTCTCTTCAGCTCGACGAATCCATCACCACCTCCCAGCGGCATCAACAAGCATCGAAGGTGATTTTGGGAATCATTTTAGAGAATGGAGGCAATTTAGGAATTTGTGAAGTTTTTGTGTATGAAACTTCACCATTCAGAGCTGAGAATTAGACAATAAAATGGAAAAAATGAAAGAAAATGAGTTTCAATTGTTAAAGAATGAGTTTGTGTTTATATTTTCCCTGCTTTTACGATTGGTGATGGTTGTGTTTGGTTTGTTCAGGTCAAACCACACAATATTTCGATTTGGAGGTCTGAGGTATTGTTTCAGGCCTTTCTTTCTTATACCATAAAGAAAGTGATTTTATTGAAACCATGAGAATACTAATCCCTTTTGTCTGCTCAACATTGAATTAATCTCTTTTTTATTTATGAATAAGCGTATCAAAGACTATCAAGTACATTTTAAACCTAAGACAACAACTGCTACAAAGTACAACATTCTGTTTTATACATCAACTATCTATAGAGTTTGTGCCTTATACCAAAATAGCTTGTTATATACTGCTAATGCGAGCTCATTATTTCCTACAATCAAGCTATCAAGAATGCCCTTATTTTTCAATGTTAGTTCTTGAACTTCTTATTTTTATAAACCCTTCTACATCTCTCGTTCTAGACTTCACTTAAAACCAGATTCCATAGTAACCTTCCTTGTTTACATTGGTTGAATCTGTCTATTGCTTCTTGCAACCTACATTACCACTCTCATTGCAACAAGTAATTCCAGCTTGGAAAACCAACTTCAACACTGCCTGCACATAAGAACAACTAAAGAAGATATGGTCTCTTGACTCTTCCTGGTTGGAACATAGAGGACAATTGATTACAATGTCAGGTCGCCACTTCTTGATCTTGTCAAAGGTGTTAGCCCTATCAAATACAAATAACCAAGCAAGTAGGAGATTCCTTGCTATTAAGTATTGCAACCACATAAGTTTTCCACATGCTTTATGCACATGCTTAGGCCTGAAAATTTCCCAGATCTTCTTCACTTTGTATTTAGTCATTACAACTCCATCCCATGTCGTTCCATTATGGTTTTTTTTATCTAAGTGCATTGATGATACATGAAATACACTATTCTAGACCCTCGTATTGATGATCAAAAGTGCATTGATTTCTCATATTTAGCATCATAGTACATTGGATTTGCTATATGAATTCTTAAAATGATTTTGAGACTGCTTTTGTTATCAAGTTACGATTTTGGTAGAGTTTTGTGCATTTTTTGGTCAAACTAGACTAATGGACCACATAGGAGCTTAAGGGATGTCAAGGCCCAGCTGCTGGAGCAAGAATCAAAGGAAGAAACCTAGGCCTAGAAACGACGCTCTAATTGGTGGCGAAGGTTGAGAAACAACATTGTAGCCTCCGATTTTAGGAAGTTCTCACTTCATCAAGAAGGTGTCCATAAGTTATCTTGTAGTGTTAGCTCCATGAAAGGACTCTTCTGATTGGTTGTATGATCTCCCAGGAAACTTTACCCAACACCTATATAAAGGTCTTTAGGGTTTAGAACTCGATAGCCAGTGATAGGAGGTAGTGAGAGGGTCATTACTCTGCTAACAGAGTTCCCCACCAAACTCAGAGTGACACCAGTTACCGGGAGGAATCGGCAGCAGAATCGGCACCCTTAGGCTCAATTTTTCTGTTGAGGGTGTTGATTCTAGAGGTATTTTGGGAGCTTTATTTTGCTCGAGGACTCCCCAGAAACATGTCCTCGTGGTTGGATATGTAGAATTCGATGTTTAGTATTCATTACTGATGTTTCTATCTTATTATCATTTGTTCATAATTTTCTATATGTTATGTATTATTGGTTTGAATGAAAACCTGGTTGGGCTTGCATCCCTTTTTGTTGCAAGTATGAAACCATAGTCTTTTAGAACAAGACTAGACACGGCGGCTCTACTTGATCGATCATCATTCGATCAAATGGTGTGATACCTCAAGGGAGAAATTTGTAGGGTACTCGTCGTCTGTTGGTTTGTAGGGATATTATGAATTAAAGCAGGATTAGATAAAGTAAATTAACAACTCATATGTTTCCATTATCAAGGGAATGTATCTAGTCACTCCAAGGGAAGCTTTGCCTATGCAACGCCTCTCTCTTCTGCGGCCTCACTCAGACATTAGATTATATTTACTTTTCATGCATATGCGTTCTTTACTTTTCTATTTTGATAAACCAGAGGCACCTCAACCTCCTACAAAAAATTTCATTCAACATAAAACTCATCTCTCACCACCTGAGTTAGTGGTTGCGAGAGACTCTAGGGAATACGATCCTTACCTTCAGGCCAGATAAATTTGATTACTGCTACAATCGAAGATCATGTCCCATTACCTGACTTCTCGGCTTCACCACTTTATTCCAAAGCCATGATCAAGGAGTGTTAGTTTCCCACACACTCACATTCGTCAATCATTATTCTTATAACAAAACTAGCCACAATTTTTCGTGGTTTGAAAGTGCACTCCATATATGTTTAACAATACATGTTTGGTTTCTACTATATAAATCCTTGAATCCTAGTTATGTTTGCTCTTTTGACAATGCCACCATCTTCTATGTAACCTTGGCTCTTTTCTTCTTCGAGACCCATACAAATTAAGAACATTGCTTTTGAATTTCTAATATGAACTTCTTGGGTAGCTGGAATATTGTCATCCAATATTGAGCCACACTTGCAAATAATGATGTCACTAATTGCATTTCCCCTACAAAAGGAGAGGTCTTTGGCTGCATCTCGTAATTGTGTATATGATTTTATCCATTAAGGTGTTGCACTCAACTGTGTTTAATTTTGTAGATATCAAGAGTACCCTCAGGCAATAGAGTCAAAACCGCGTTTTAAAACTTAAAAGCTTACGATTTTACGCTTCTAGATCACCAAAACGCTTTCTTTTCCATGTAAAATCTTTAGTGTGAAATATCAAACTAAATTGCGCTTTAAAGTTAAAAATCTTACGCTTTTACATTTCCAGTTCACCAAAACGATTTATGCTTTTATTCTTTCATTTCACTAAATGGGTATTCTTTTCATTAAATTAATAATTATAAAAATTATATTTTAAAGATAAACAACCAACAATACTTGGATGCATTCTCACCAAAATACTTTTATGTTTATGAACTTATTGTTAAGATGCTATAAATTGCTCTACTTTAGACTTGAATTGCAGGTATTTATTAGCTTACCAAAATTCTTCGCACTCATATTTTACATAGTATATCTATATGTCGTAATTAACAGATTTTTCGTTATTTTACAGCATGCGTAAAAAACTTAGGCTTTTAAGCTTTGGTTCTACGCTTTACAATTTTACCCATTTTTTGCTTCTAGGTAGAATCGTTATTTTAACTGAATTGCCCCCAAGTATCTAACATGCAACAACCCTTCTTAAAGCTCTGGCTTCATTATTAGATCTATTCTTAAAACATCCTCCATCCCTCCAAAAGAGTTCATTTTTTTGTGGATTACATTTGAGGCCATAAATCCTATAAAATTGTTGCAAGATCTCATCCACACCCTGAACTCCCTCCACAAATCACTCAGTGAATATTAAGAGGTCATTGTAAAGCATAGGTGAGTAAACCTATTCTTTGACACTATGGGTGAAAAGGTATGAACTTTGTTTCGCTAGCGCTTTTAAGCATGCAACTCAGAACTTCCATAGCTATTGCAAACAAGTAGGGTGAGAGAGGATTCCCCTTCATCAACCCTTTCTTTGCTTGAAAAGGACTAGTAAAAATCTCAATGATGCATACAGTAAATGTAGTAGACAATCCATATTACACTGTCGAATGGCTTCATGATATCTACTTTCACAACATATTTAGGTGATATATTCTTCCTTTTGAACCACTTAACCATCTCATGAGCTATTATTATAATATTATCACTGATCATCCTCCATTTAATGAAGGTTGACTGGTTCTTACTGATGACTAGCACTAAGACCTCTCTAAGCCTACCAGATATTATATTTTATATGCATTTCTAAAAAATTTGCAGCATGATATAAACCTATATTGTTTCATTGTTGCAACCATGAAAATTTTAGGTATAAGGATAATGATGGTGTTGTTTACCTCTCTTAGTAGTCTACATGACATGAAAAATTCTTACACCTCTTCTATGACTATGATGCCTACCAAACTCCAATTGTCCGGAAAGAATTATGGTGTGAACCCATCTGGTCCATGTGCCTTGTCCCATGGTATCCCAGAAACCACAACCTTGATCTATTCAGAAGTAACTGGCATACACACAAAAATCCACATCTTCATGTAATTGGTGATTTAACAACTACTTGATCATTCGAATATGGTATTTCATGGCTTTCTTATCCTCAACTCCCAATACTCCCTCATAGAAACTCAGTGCCTCCTTGCTTATCTCTTTCACATCTGTTACTACTTTCCCTTCTATAGATATAAGTTGTCTTATTATTATTTTTAATTCCTAGACTTTACTGCATATTGAAAGAATTTAGTATTCCAATCCCCACTAGAAATCCACATTTGCCTTGACTTCTGAAATATGTATTTTCCTCAATACGTAGTAGCTTAGGAGGCTGGACCATACATCCCCATTCATTATCAAATTCCTAAGGGGTCGGGTGCTCAAAGGCCTCTAATTGAGCTACTGCAATTGCTGCTTTAGCTACTTGTACCCTCTCATGGATATTAGAATCGTGAACTCTATTTAGCTTCTTCAACTCAACCTTAATCTTCTTCAACTTCTAGTATGTCCAGTACATTGAAGAACCTTTGACTTCGTAAATCCACCCTTCTTTAACCATTTATTCATAGCCTGGAGGTTGCTTCCAGTAATTGAAGTATTTAAATGTTTAGGGTATTGTCTTTGTACTCGTGTCTGAATGAATCAGAATCCCACAATGGTCCGAGAACTCGGATGAAGTATTTTAACAATACTTTTGGGGAATGTTGTTATCTAGTATATGTATTCACAAGTGTCTTATCTAATCTTTTTGAAATGAAAATTTCCTGCCTGCTTATATTTTTTCACGTGTACCAAGGTTCATCCACTCTATGATCTACCAGTTGCATATCCTCAATCCAACTACAAAAATTTGAAGTACTCTCTCCTAATTTCACCTAGTTTGATGCTTTACTTCTATTTTACTATTGCATTGAAATCCCCCATCACCATCCATAACCTCATATTATTAATTTTCTTCTTAGCTTATGAGACATGCTTCGTCTGTCCTTGACTTCATTTGATCCATACACAATTAGTATTTGCATTTCCTCCACACCCTTCACTATTCCATGGATAAATTGATCTCCCCTATCCAGAATAGAAAAATCTATCTCCTGACTCCAAAGAATCCACATTCTTTCTACTTAAGTAGCTTTATAAACCTCCTCCAGCATCCAATCAGGGAAGTACTTAAAAGATATCATTTACCTTCTCTTTTTTATTCTTATTTCTAAGACAACAACAAAATCTACTTTAAATAGACTTATTATTTCAACAATTTCCTCTTATTTTTAGAGCTATTGAATTTCCTCATGTCCTAGGATAATTTTTTACGCCTGCCTGGCCTCGTATTACCTTCCTCTTGCTCCCCCCACACTCTTACTCAACTCAGGAAACTCCTTATGATTCTTTAAAGGGGATACCATCAATGATCCCACTGAAAATTTATATAAAGTAGCCAGCATCGGTACCCTGAATGAATTTTCCTTGTCAACTGCAGAACCTCCACAACTACCTGGAATTCCTTATTGGAGAGAAGTGAAACACCTTTGTTGCTCCAGTCTTCCATTATCTCAGAAACTTCACCAGTATCCAGCTGATGAGGTGAATTACAAATCACAAGTTCCTATTAATGCATCAGCAGTCCCTCTTGAACTTGCTACTCCTGATCCTCTATCACCTCTTCGGAAGAAATCATAGACATGTCCAACTTGCTTACTGCTCTCACAAACCACTGGATGGTTACAATATCCAATCTAAACAAAGAAAGTTGGCCTCTGATCAGGAACCAATATCAAGACCTCCGGTAACTCAGAGTGAATCCCCATCTCCACACACATTTTCGGATAACCTAAACGTCTCCTAGTCCTAAAACTTTCAAATCATAGAGGCTTGCCTATCATGCTGGCTAGACGAGTAAGGATGTGTCACATGAAATTTTCCAGTGCATAAGTTTTCCCCATAGGGGAGTCACTAGCTTTGGACTCTCTACCCTAATAACAGACTCCGATTTCCTCAAAGCGCACATATCGTTGTGAAGATGCCACAGTCCACTAGTAAACACCCAATGCACAGTCTTCGCAGTTGAAAATTGAAGAGGTAGCAATTTCTGTCCTAGCCAAGAAACCCTAACTGTCCCACTTTTCCCCGTAATCCTCGAGCTCCGCCGGTATTTTGATTCCCGCCATCCACGATTTCTGGTTCAATATAGGCCAGTTGGCTTTCCTCCATGATATCGAACATGTTAGCCCAAGCACGCTCACTAACCATCGATATTTGAGAATTGCACATGGAGCAGATGCCCAACGAAGATTTGAGGATGGCGAGTCACACTGACGCTGGCGCCGACCGAGTTGCGTTCAACGGATTTTTGCACTTTTTTTCCTCTCTAACTTTCTTTCTCTCTAATGACCCACAAGGTGATTTTTTTTTTAACAATCCCTTTGTTATATACTTATTGGATGATCCGTTGAGATAATTATGATCATGAAATGAATATCCATCACATCGGTCGAAATATCTATAGTTGGGTAAGTCATGCATGCCATGGTGGTGGGAGTGGGACTGGGAGGGGTTATGTATGTACTTCCATGTTATGCCCAGCAGTTTTGGGCTGGGGACTAGACTTGGACTAGACCACTTTGTCCGTTCGTTGGTGTAGCAGTAATAGCGTAGTAGCCATAAAGCAAGCAAGCCCCAAGGGGATGTGGGCACAACAACACAACACAAGCTTCCAAACAAAGGGAATTTAATGGAAAGTGAGATTTTGCAATTGCAAGGTTTATTCCCCTCCTTGTCCCCCCGATCACCACTACACACACATGTCCGCCTGCCTACTTTCCTCTCTAAACTACTGCCCATCTTTTTTTCTTATAAAAAAGCACAAATAAATTAACATTCAAAATTCTATCGACAAATAAATAAATAGCTAATTAATTAATTAAGCACAAACCAACGAACACCCACCCCTTCTTCTGTTCTTCTTCTTCTCCTCCTTCTTGGTTCCCCTTTATAATTCCCTTTTTATTTATTTATACCAATCTCCCGCTCCTCCCTCCCCTTCTTTCTTCTTCTTCCTCCTCTCTCTCTCCCTGTTAAATGGGTTTCTCTTTCTTGTCGTCTCCTCCATTAGCAGCACTAGTAGTAGTAGTAAATAACAACAATCCATCTTATGGCCTCACCACCAACTAACTCCTCCTCCTCCTCCTCCACAGATCCATCATCACAAACCAACGCTCTCCCAATCCATGGCGTTTTATGAGCGGGGACGGAGGAATTTCCTTAAAAACAGCGGCGGAGACGACCATCACAACTGCTGCCTACTTCAATCTCCTAATTCGGCCGCCCTTTTCCTCGTCGGCCGCCGGATATGACGATGTTTCCGGCCGCCTCTCATCACCACCACCAAAACAGCAGCTCCACGACTTCCACTCCTCCTCCTCCTCCCTTCAAACACCACCATAGTAGCCGTCGCCGCCGTTCCGACGACGGCGGAGGTTATGGTGCTGGCTTCGAGATCTCCACCAGCGATATCATCGACGCCGACGCCAACAACAACAACAACATTCACCAACAGAGCTGCAGCAGCCGCCGCCGCCGGAATTGTCGTAGCGCCACTAGCAGCAATAGCAGCCGTCGTCGTCTGCCGATGGCGGCGGAGGAAGATGAATCGAGAACCAACAGCAATACCAGCCTCAACAACGAAGCAGCCACCTCCACTTCCAAAATCGCCGCCGCCGCCGCCGAACAAGAAGTTGTCGTTCGGCTGCCGGAAAACCGATTAATGGCAGGCTCCGCCCCCTCCGCTTCCGCTTCTTCTTCCTCATCCTCCTCGTGGCTCCAGCTCAGCATCGGCGGCGGGGCTCCGGTTGAAATCCCAGCGACGAGCAATAAAGATCATCAGCCGCAGAGGCTGGATCCAAGAGCCGGCTGCGTCGGAGGAGGACTTATCGAGCTCGATCTGCTCTCCAGCGGCGGCGCAGGCGGAAGCTTTTACCGACCGTCTTTCACCGCTGCCTGCAGTCCGATGTTTCTCGACACAAACGCTCAGCCGTCCCCGCCGCCGCTGAGGCCGGTGGCGATGAATGCGGCTGCCGCTACCGCTCCCCCGCCGCCGTCTTTCTTCTTCCAGCCGGCGGCGGCGGGAGGAATGTTTAGCCCTTCTTCTTCGTATCCCTCTATCCAATACCTGCATCAACAACAACAAGACGTAAACTACTGGCCTTTCAGCAGGCCGCCGCTCAGCTCCGCCGCGTCGGCAGTGATGCATCATCATTATAATAACCCTCAAATGGCGACGGCTCCGTTTTTTGCGCGGCCGTTTCAGTTGTTCGGAGATCCCGCTCTCGGCGGTGGCGTGTCTTCCAACGAGGAGTTCAGAGTGATGGAACCTCCGAGAAGGCCACACTCCGGCATTTGGTTCCTCCTTCAACCCTCCCTCTCGCAGTAAGTCGCGCGTTAGAGAATGGCATAATTTTTTTTTCTTCGTATTAAGTGTAATCAGCGTTTTTATCTCTGTTAATCCACAATCATCATAATTAATGCAGGTCCATAGAGCCATTCTTGCCTCCATTGCACAAGAGCTACCTCAGGATCAAGTAATTAAACCTTTGTTTCTCTTTAATTAATTATTAATCGAGATAAGCTTAATGACAGACTGATGATATATATGCATCTTACGGCTATATTGTAGGGATGGAAGGATGACGGTTCGGTTGTTAATCAAGTATCTGGTTACCAAGCTCAGTTTGGATAGCGATTCAGAGGTATTTTAATTATCCGTCTAAATTAAATTTCACTAGCTGCGATTATGTTTTAATATTTTATCATCATCACAGCATCAATTTTGGCGAAACTTTCTTAAAACATTAGCTGAGGATGACTCCCCCGAAATGGAAAACATTAGCTGATAGTACTTGTGCTATCAGGAAATTAGTAAGAACATTAGGGCCAAGAGTGAAGAACCAAAAATGGGAAACTTCCCCATTTGCTTGTTGATTGTTGTTGCTGTTGTGTGTCTTTTCAGTCAAGGAATGAATAGGGATGGTGGAGTAAGTGTGGTTTTGACGGAGAATGTGTATCAAATCTACGTTTGATTTGGATTATTAGATGGGTTGAGATTTGAGAGTTTGGGTGTTGGTGGAGGAATGACAGAAACTGCAGAACTAACTAACTTATTTCCACCACCGCCACCAGTTTCAATTAGGTGAGGCAGCTTTTAACACGAGCTAATTACACTATAAATACCGTCGAGTGGATTCAATTAAATCTGGAATTCGAGTCCACCAGCTTGTTGCTAATTGAAACTTGTCTCTCTCAGAAAACATCTTCTCCAAGATTTGGGTGTCTTGCGTTAGTTAAGAATGTTTTCGTCAATTCAAACCAAGATTTGTGAAAGGTGGGAGGGTTCAATCACATGTGTGTGTAAGTTTGTTTCTACCTATAATTAATATAATTAACAGGCAACTGGAGAGAAGAGAGAAAACTACCCACTACCTTACGTCCAATACCCTTAACATTTTGTCCGTTAAGTAAGAGGCTGGCTAGCTAGTTGTCTGTCTAGCTGCACCCATGCTAACTTAATTAATTAATTAATTAATAATTATGTCAATTAAACATTTTGATTATGAATTAATTAAACTAGTTAAGATCGTCATGCACAGCAAGTGAAGTGATTCGCATAAATTCTCCTACCTTTGCTTTTGGTTTGTACCATAATAGTTGGGATTTGGGAATCAAAAAGCTTTGAATGGGTCGTACGTGCATGGCATATTGGCATTCGAGTTACTTCTGATTAACTGTCTCTAGCTGGCCAGCTAAAGATGAACAACAAGTCCTTACTTAATCTTAGTTTCTAGTTTGTACTCGCTCATGACGACTATAGAGAGGACGAGTCGCCATGGCAACCGCAGATACAAATAAAGTTAGGGATCGGTTGGTGGTTTTTATTTATTTATGTTGTGTGACTTTCTAGTAAGGGTACGTACTGTTTTAATTTGGACTGTTTGTAGGCATTAATTAAATTCAATGGGGATGTAACTACTAAGTACGTAGATTTCTCATGAAACGGATTGCCTTAATTTGTTTCTTCCACGTAAATTCAGTTGGGAGCGTGGGAAAGGGTTTGTGTGTTTGAGGCAGATGCGAGCGGGTGTTTTGTTTTGTTTTGTTGTTATATACATATACGGACGGTATTAATTAATTAATTAATGGTTCAAGTAGTTAATCCGTGTTAGCGCTGGAAACTCCACATCCTCGGCGGTATGTGCAGAGCATATAAGCCATGCATGCATCTTGTTATTGTAGTCACCTTGGTTTGTCACACTAGATTGATTTTCATGGTGAACAACGTCGACACCAAGATGTGCTAGCTGTTATTCATTCACCAAGATGGTTTGTCAAAACTTCGCCTTACCTAGAGGGAAATTAATTTAGTGATGGGTATTGTCCAAACTCCATTACACTGGATACTCATAAGAAAATGGTACACAAGTGTAATGTGATTTTTGCTCTTTTTCTTTGTTCTAAAACAGACATAAATGTGAAATCACAAACATTGAAGTTGTTAATTGGTTGAAGGCGAATAGTGAGATGATCGATATTGCTTTTTTCGTGTGTATAATTATATAGACCCAAAAAGAACCGTTTTGGGTCAGACCCAAATGGGTTGAACCAACCCTAACTCAAAAATTCTGGATCCAACCCAACACTCGTATGGATCATGACAATTAAAAACAATGAGTCTGATCATTGTCCAGTTATCAATGATGGTTTTATTAGGATTTAGGGCATGTCGTCAGACAAGTGAGCATGGATATACACATCTAAGTTATCAACATACATCGCCTACAAAGAAAACTAAAAAGAAGTGAACACTGTGGAGGAAGCTAGGAACATGTAAACGTGAATTTACAGTTGTCCAAGTATGGCGCTTTGGTTTGCTTTGGTTTTAGCATAGGAGAATGGGAAGTGTTATGGTTAAGAGAACTCTTATATTGATTAGTGAAAAGTTAGGTGGAGTAGTTTGTCGACATACATGGGGGTGTTATCAAGACAAAAAAATGAAAAAGATAGAGGTAGCTAGGAATGCATGCAGAGAGTGACAAAACCCAAACACGGTGACGGTTTTCTCAACTTAATCCTCGGTCGGTCGAGATTGTGTCGTATGGGAAGAAGAATGCGTTACAATATAGAGTACTCCATCGACGTAGCTAATTAAGGACGTAGTTTGAATGGTAGCGCCTCATATATAATAATAATAATAATATTTAATTATCATCACCTTAGTTTATGTAAAATTATAATGAATAGAAACTCACGTACATTGCTTGTCATTAATTGGACCGCGTGTGTGTGTGTTTTGTGTTTCTATGTGGTATGGATGATACATGATGCTGTGTCTCTAATTAAGTGCGGCGCATGTTGGGTTTTTGTCTGTATCTTGTCTTAGTTACTACCTAACACCACGACATATAGCTAAGCTAGGAAGCATCGAGTTTTGTTTTTGTTTTCTTCTCAATTTGAACCAGTATTGTATAGTAGTAGTAATGGCGTTCAAACATGCAAAGTCTTTTGTGTTTTATGCATAGCTAGTCAACCGGGTGCTGTCTTTTTGTGGCATGACTCGGGAATTGGAATGAACATAAATGTTAAAAAGCTGTGGGTTGTGTGTTGGTTTCGATGAGGGTTCGAGGCATGCCATGTTTTGCAAGGGAAGTCAGGTTAAGGAAGTAGTTTGATGTCATCAATCACTCCAAAATTATGTATTAGACGTATCGTAACCCTATTTTGTCTCTTGTTTCATTCCTGCATAGACTATAGTTTGACAGCTAATCACCAAAATGGAAAAAACGAGCTGTTTACGATAAAGATCAACGATCGTAACAACAAAACCCAAGCTACGTGTATTTAATTACATAGTGGGGTTAGCAAGAGTGACATATCTTTTTAAGCATAGAGTTTATGATACATTAACGCAACTGATTAGGCGTTCCGTGTCGATTTGCTTGGTGTTGTGATTAAGTTTTACGAAATTATCACTCTTCGTCGAATAAAATGGGAAAAATTGATCAAGAGTGAAATTTAGCTTGAAACATGCTATAGGGGATGAAGGATATGATATAGGGATTGCAATAGTCAACTTGGTGCCGTTGATTTGGCAAAAATTCTTTGTTTTTTTATGGATGAAAATGCTACTGCCGGCAAGCTAGGTGACGTCAAAATAAACGTATAAAATAAATAAACAAGTAAGAAGAGAACTACAACCGGACACCTCAGAAGAGCAGGGGATTGGCGTTCCCATGCAGCCAATGCAAAGACCTGGAATTTAAAACCTATAATAATAATAATAATAATAATAATAATAATAATAATAATAATAATAATAATTGTATATTTACATATACGTACATGGATGGTGGAGTAGTAGTGTACATAAATACAGCTTTTTATTGTATACAAATAAGCGTAGAATCTCAACAAACACAGATAGCAGCAGGCAGCAGTATAGGCCAGCTAATTAGGTAGGGTTTTTAATTAATGAAGGAAGGAAGTGTTGTAGTTAATAAGAATCCTTGGTAATCAAAATCAAAGGTCAACTTAATTCGATGCGGGTGTGAATTGGGACATATATGGGCGGCGTGGGGTTGTGAAATTAATTAGTAGGGCGAAATTAAAAGTTAGTTTGAGTTTAGTTTGATTCATTAATTAACCATAATAAATTAAGGACGGTTGAGACAGCTGGGGAATGCCACGCATGCATGCAGGCGCACTGATTTCACACGAACCAGCTAATTAAGTTTTCATGAGAGTCGGGGTTAGCGTCGGCATGCAGCAGCTAAGCAAGTAAAATCCCCGCCATCCAATCATTAAGCCTTTATGTGAGGTGAAAGATAGGTTAAAAAGGGGTTTGTGCTAATATTGAGATTCGTCAAAGTTAAATGGGATTTTACGAGAGCTAAGTTAATAATAGGATATTTTATGTTAAAACTGTGGTTTAATTGTGATTTAGTGTTATATATTGCTAAAATTATTTAGTGATTTCGATTTCGGTATCCGGATTTTTCTGATAGCATTGCTGATACGGTATGTTTTTTTGCAAATATGGTGTTTATACTTAGATCATAATTTATCTAAGTAAATGGACAATTCATTTGATCCACTCGTTTGAATACTTAAATTGTCGTAACTATAAAAATGGGTTTGAATCACTAGAAAAAAAAATTGAAAGTTCGGCTTGAATCTCTGAAATATAGTCTAATTGCCAAACATACAATTATAAATGTGTCTAATTTTATATTAAATTATTGAATGAAAAAAATCAAGGGTTCATATTTAGGGGGTTGGAGTCTTAACAAATACTTTCTTTGGAAGTTGTGATTTTTCACATTTAGTGATAACCATTTATCTCCTCAAATCAAGTATTTAAATATCTCATCAAATCTCTTCTTACCCGTTTTATATAACAAAGTTGTAAAGATTTCCAGAATTGCTAACTAATCTATGAATTCTATTACGAAAAGGGTTTGGTCTATAAGTAATATCACTGGTCTATTACTTGAAGGCCTCAAGTTCAAATCTCTTAAATAGTAGATTCATCACAAAAAAAGTAAATATATATATCATCCTAATCCCCAAAAAAAAAATCAAGGATTCTATTAATCCACCTTCTCACTCGTGTTTAGTCTAAAAATGAAAACCATAATAATAAATGTAAACCAAATCTAGCTAGCTAGTTAAATGCAAATAATGATTCTTAGAACCTCGAAATGATGAATGATGACGGAATGAATGGTTGTGTGCTACACATAATTTGAAGCATTAATATATAACCATAAAAATTATATAATATATATAAAACCCGATGAGAACATACACACATTTATATAGCGAATGATTACACTACAAATATTTGTATGGAAATGGAACCCCACGATGGCTGTACTGTACGGGGAAAGCGATCGAGGAAGAGGAGAGGATCTTTTGTTCATGTTTGCAAGTAAAGGGCTGCTACGTGCTCCTCTCACTAATTATTACTTATTAGTATGGGAGAAACATTTTGGTGGTGTACTCTACCAAATGCTTATTGGTTTCTGGTTGGTAATCATTTATTCTTTTTTCTGCTTTTTTTTTTAACACTGTGATTATGATCGTTGTTGACTTTTCTTTTTCATCATATATATAATGTATTCAACTATAGGTAGCGTACGTGAAGCGGGGTTAGGGTTGGGGTTTAGTTTAGTTAATTAGGGTTCTTTGTAGTTGACACGCGTTAATTTGCCAGTTATGCAATGGATAAGTTCAGTTCCTTGATGAGAAGCCAACAGCAAACTAGAATCAATATAAGAAAGGGGAGATTAAAATTTAGAGCACGTATAATTTTATAAGGCTTATCTTTATAGAAAAAGCGATGAGATAGAATCAGATTTAAGGAGAGAGCTATGTTAGCGAGGTTCATAAGTTAGGTTTGGAGAAACATTACCCTCAATAAGTATTACTCCTAAGTCTCAACAATTGAGTACATGTATAATATAAAAGCATGCCCACCTCTCTAATTCTCTCACTTTTTAAATGTTTCGTAATATAAATACATTGCCATGTCAAATAACAAAATTTTATCCCTTATGAATTGATATTTTGTAAAATAGTAATTTTATTAATCATTTAATTTCCTATCATTGATTAATACCCTACCTTCAAATAAATTCTTCATTCTACAATTGCATGTAAAAAAAACCTTAGGAGTAGGGGTGTGCATGGGTCGGATGGTTCGGGTTTAGCCATTTTAATCACCCTACTCATGCACTACGGTTTGAGAAATATTAAACCCAATCTCACCCAAAAAATTAAAACCCTACGGCTTGTTTTTAATTGGGTTGGGTCGGGTTGGTAATATTTGTAAGTAAAAACTCAACCCAAGACAAAATATGTAGTTATTCTACACCATAAAAATATTTTATAACTAATTAAAATTTCAAACAAATAAACCGATGTGAAACGTATCAAAATTCACAAATGTTATTTAAATTTTAATAAAATTTGATTTACTTCAACATATGTCTAGTTCTTTTCACGACATTTGTTGAAATAGGCTAAAAATATTATAAACGAACACATTCATAATATGCTATTCTACTAAAATTGTACACAAGAAAAATGATTACGTGAATCATAGCTATATTAAATCTATATCTAAACTTTAAGCCGCTGAATGCATTAGATTAGAGAGACCATGAAAGAAAAATATAGCGAAATATCTTAATTTTTTCCTAAGTATGGATATATACTACATAAATATTTTTTGGATACAAACTCATATAAATAGTTGGAACATGGGTTGGGTCGGGTTCTACGGGTTGTGTAATCCAAAATCCAAACCCAACCCAAAAAAGGCGGGGTGTACAAAAAAAACTGTCACTGAACCCAAAACTTTAGTTTTAGCGATAAATACGGGTGGGTTGGGTTGGACGGATGGCTCGATTTGCGTGTGTATTTTTTCATTCTACTTAGAGGAGGATATTAAAAAAATAACTCAAATTTGGATGTTGCCTCTCAAGATCCTTTCGTCACGCTTTCGATTACTCCACCTCACTCATGCACCCCTTCTCTCTCTTCCGACATCTATCTATCTAAGAGCAACCAAATCATTATCATCGTTCATCATAGTCCCATAGCCCATCTCTCTCGTTCTGGTTCATGGTAGGTCCATTTCCACTCTCTATATCCATTGATTTCATGAAAGAAAAGTGCCCTCCCATGGAAAGGATGGAACAAACATTTGTGCTCCAAATCCATGACCACCCATGAAAGAAAAAAGCAAAGAGGAGAAAAAGTACCTCCCCTTTGTTTTAGTGCTGCACTTTCTTTTCTTCCATGAAAGACCCTACCAACCAATCACCCCTACCCTACAAATATCTCAACCAACCCATCCCACTTCCCACAAAAACTCCTATCTGTAATTATTTCTCATTACAAAAAAAGAAGAATTCACCATACCCATCCTTCTTCCTCCACCGAACGATTGGATGGCAGAAAAGGAGAAGAAGAGGATATTTTACGTGGGAGGAAAGCAATGCATGCGCCCATATTCATTCCACTACCCAATCATTCCCAAGCTGCTGACCTCTTCTTATTAACAAACCAAATTGCCCAAACAACAACAACAAAAAAACAAATTCTCAATTCTGTTTTGAAAAATTGATTGATTGGTTGCTTGATTCATTGATTTTTATATATATTTTCATGTTAAGCAAGGGAATATATGCATGCAAATCTTTTATCATTAATTATTAAGAAACTGGTTAGTATAATTGTAGGAATTTCATACTATACATCATATTAGGTTGAAGAAGGATTTTGGGGGAATATTTGACATTCTGCTGGTGATATTTTATAAGTTGGGGGGTTCTGTAGTAGAAAATGGAAAGTAAACGTGAGGGAGACGTGCATGACATGAGACGGATATGAGTTGATGATATTATAATTCCTTTACCCACCCTTTTCCCCCCCTCTATATTTCATGTAATCATTTATAATTATAAATCAGTTTGGGGTTAGGTAATTTACGTTAGGAAAAATCAAAACAATATTATATCATATAAATCATTCTCTTTACATTGATGATAATCTTGACCTAAAGAATGCTTGCTTCTTCCCCGATTGTTTAGATATTCTTAATGCGGTGATGATCATGATGGAATTTATAAAGAATAATCAACGTGGCTCATGATTTAAATTTTGGCGTAGGAACAAAGTCTCCCCATGGGCCACGTACTATAGTAATGATGACATCATATAGAAATTGGGGCACACCTCCCTCCACTAACCTACCTCTTCATTCTCTTCTTCACCCATTAACCAATTATTATTATTATTATTATTATAGCTTCCCTTTTTGTTTTTCCATTGGTTGCACTCTTCTTCTTCTTCTTCTTCTTCTTCTTGACCCAACTAACCATCCCCTTCCTTCAAGTAACGGGAAGGAAAACAACCCTAAAACGAAAGCCCATGAAAGGGAAACGAGCGGTAGATATACAGAGATCGAGTTGGGTAAAGAAGTAGAAGTAGGGTAGCGATCAGAAATCATATCATCAATTTTGCCGTCTATTTACGTATAAGAAAGAATCTGTGCTAGCTGGCCCATTGTGGTTCTTCTCTCCATCATCCATGCATGTACATAGCTCCTTACTTGGGTAGAAAGTTAACCAAGAATCCACAAAGCGTTTCTTTATTATCTAGTGAAGTGACAATTGAATTGAATTGATGGTTGAAGTTGGTTGGTTTTTGGTTTTGGTGTTGCAGATAGAGATAACATGTAGAGGACAAAAGCTGCCACCATTCTTGACGTTGCAGCATGTAAGGGATAACATATGGAGCGGTGCAAGGGAAGGAATGGTGACTTTGCTTGCGGACCAAGGAGACTACTCTTCCTCTTCGCCATCTCCATCGCCTGCTAACTCCCCAGCCTCTTCATCATCTGATCATCTCATGATCCTGCATTACGCTAGGACCACCACTACCACGACTTGCTAATGCTACTTAATTAATAACTCTCCTGATTAATTATTGAATTAATTAATCCCACCCCCACAATTAATCAAAGGGAACCAGGAAAAAAAGAAAAACACAAAGAAAGAACCGTGCTTTAAGTTATGTCTTTTGGTCGATTTCTCATCTTCATTTCTTGTTTTCTTTTTGATTATTTTGTTCGCTACTCTAATTTGAGAGAAAGGGAATGGTTTTTGAGGTACTACTACCACCCCAGGAAACGATGTTTACAGTTTGCTGGGGTGATTAAGATGAATAACATAACTTGCAGGGGTGCCACTTTCTTCTTTTCCTTCCCTTTTTCCACCAAGCTATCTCTACTTTGCGGCTTGTGTATAAATTGTGCACGCTTTGTGGTTCCTTTGTAAGTTGTAATGCCAACTCGCTTGTATGGCCGCTAATTTCTTGTTTCGGGTTCCTTTTATCTGTTTGTAAAGAGAAATGGTGTAGCATATTGCTCTCCATTTGGGACTAGCATGTGTAACTTAAGCTTTATGCGCCCCATATGGTGGTTGATATTTGATGTATATGTCCAGTCCACCAGCTTAATTTGGCTTTTTTTTTTTTTTTATTGCCAAACATCCTACTGTTGCCTCAAGCTATTTTAGCTGTATTATATACAACTCTTAAAATGTTAACTGGTCAACATGTCCACCAATTGAATTAGATGACCATAATGTGAAAACGCGTAATACACATTGTTCAAGTGTCGAATTTGGGCTGTGCCCAAGAAGTGAGAGGTTGAAACTTGATACATATCTTCCTTCCATGACCCATTGAGTGAGGGCATGACCCAGCCTATCTTCACCTCACCTGTCTTTTTTAGATAATGGGATTGAGCTTTATTGAGATAATGGGCCTGAAGTCCATTTACTTGTCCAATTAGAGTACACAGTAGAGTTCTCGATATCCAGTCCGGCCTGTGGCCTTCATCACCACCAAGCCCAAGGTGAGAGTTTGACACTCTCTCTCTTTGCGCTCAATCCGGAGTTTGAAGGTGCCACTGGTTATGTGATGATGGATCTTGGCCCTTGGGAGGAAATGTCCTTTTGGCAACAGGGCCACAGTATCCGCCCGTCACTGATCCAACAGTTGTAAAAGCCTTAATTAGCGCTCCGGAATGCGATCAGAGAATGGTAAATCTAGAGACTTTCACTTCAGTTCTTTGTTGTGGGGATGCCAAAGTCCATAATTGATCAGTGCAATTCTGCTCTGGAGGAATATTGAAGGAAATTTTTGATATGTTGAATGCTCAGCCTTTGTTTAGGCTTCAGTTTGTATGGCCGAAACAATAATAGGACGATTAATTATATTGTGTGGTCCGTCATTATCCTATATTTGTTACTTCCTATTATCGAGGATGTTGATTTTGTGAAATGATTACGTTCTTGTTAGTAATATATATTGACATTATTCTCTCCTTAAGAGTGATTTACTGTTAGAAAAATAGCAATAATTAAGAACAAAATAGCAATATTTCCATTATAGTTTAATGTTCAACATACCGTATCATTCAATAAGATTTGCACGACCAAATATTATATTGGAATCTAGAATCCTCATGCTTAGTTCATTTTTTTTAGTAATGCAAATAACACCTATCATTGATTAACAATCAATTGGGACTTGGAAACTTGCGAGGCCCCCAAATATCAGAGTTCTCATATTAAGAATGTGTGGCTAAAAGCCTGACGTCATTGTTTACATGGCCCAATTTTTTTCATTAGGTTGACCCTTAAATTTAATATTTCTATTTAAGGGCTATTTTGATGGGGAGTTGTTATACCATCTTCAATAAAATTCCAAATGTTCCATTAAGTTTCACAAAACATCCTCCAACAAGGTTCCACAATGCTAAAAGTGTTAAAAAATGAAAAGGTTGGGGCCAAATTAAATCTGACACACTATAGATAAAAGAGGCGACTTGCCAAGGCTTACCATCAGCTGACATTGGGACGCGCCAATCCATCCTCTTTCATTATCTGGTTAGTTTGTAGAGTTTCTCATATACCAATCCATCCTCTTTCTAGCTTGGCATTGTTCACTAGCACATTGTTATTCTTGATCCAAGCTCGTCCTCTACCTCGATCATCTTGACTCTTGTCTTGTTCCTTTTAAAGGCTTGCTACCAGCCTAATTCCCCAAGGTCATGTACCCTCTTCTCGAGTGACGTAGTTTATCTACAAGGGTTCCTTTATCGTCATAATGTAAATGACCATGACTCCTCTCCGCCTTGACCTTTTGACTTTTTGACGTCCTTTCATACCCCCTGCAACCTACTTATTTCCTTCTTTGCTTCATTTATACTACCCTAGCTTTTCTTAAAGTCTAAGCTTGTCACTGTGTTGTAATAACATCGAGTCATCGACGACTAAAACTAGTTGAAGGACTTCTTGTGGTACCTCTTGGTTTCTTGACTCGTTTCCTCCTCGCCACTACTTAAGGTCAAGGACAGTGAAATCCTCCCATCGTTATAGCTACTAACATCTAGTGATTGTAGCTCTTCTTCGGAGATTCATAGTTCTCCTGTTTGTTTATCTTAACCTATTAGATCGTTTGCTAGTGTTTAAGTAGAAAATTCCTTATAATGCTCCTTCAACTCCATCGAATCCTCATACTTATACCTTGATATCCCTTCGCGATTGGCACACTTTTTATTAGGACTAAAGTTATTTATCTTAATGCGATTAGAGTAGACTGGAGATTCTATAGACTCTTAGAAAATCATTGACTCATTTTCCTTTCCTTTAAAACAAAAGCCTTTAAAAACTAAGACCGATATTCCAGTATTCCTTGGTGACCAAGGAACAGAGGAAGACCGGCTCTGATACCAAAATGTAACACTCTAACCCGATCGGGTACTACTTTTACCAATATACCCTTGTTAAACTGAAAATACTCAAGAACCAAAGTCGCTAAAAAAAGCGGGAAATTTTTTCATAAACAAAAATACTGAAATCACTTTCTTGTTGTTCAAAGCAATGCCCTAACACATGGGCAAACTCAAACCTTAATCTCTAGTCTTGCTACTAAACATAAAGTACAATAACTAGAAGTCCCAGCGGATGCTTGCTCCGATCCGATCGTTGACGTCCTCCATGATGCTCGTACCGTTCTCCTCCAATTGGCTCCCCTCGAAACGTTTCTTTCACTCTTGATGCTCGCTAACTACTCCTCTAGCTCTTTCTCTTCAAACTGGTGAGTGAGATGGGGTCAGTCTACGCCCTTACGTTTTAAAAATCTAGTACTTGAGTATTTTACTTTAGATACTTAACTTAAACTGGTGGGAGTTGTTTGTACTTCCACTCTTAAAACTCCTAACTCTTAAAACTGTATGGGAGTTACTGTTACTCTCCATTCTTAAATCTCAGCGCTTGACTTAAATACTTGATCGACACGGGGATCCCTCACTAGCTAGTCTGGTTGCCCAACTCATACGTATGAGAAGCCCTCCAGGCTTTCCTTAAACTTAAACTTATCGTGGGAGGCTCTTCTTCCACGATTCTCAAGAACATAATTGTTGCTGTATATGAAAATCTCAAATGGCAACGGACTGGTGCTAGCGACTAAAAACACTTAAAACGACTTCACCTTCTTGAAGGTGAGTTACTTCTTAAAAATAACTTGTTTCTTAAACTTTAACAATAACTTATACTCATAAAATTTCAAAGTAAATAATAACCATTCACTTCAAGTCAGAATTCAAACAAGGCACATATCCTCAACCATAATCATGCAATCTCAAACATGAATCAAATAATGCACATGCATAACGTAAATCAATACTCGAAAATACTCAAGATAGATACTTGAAAACCGTAAGGAGTAGAATTTACCCCCTTTACACTCACCTGACTAGTGAAACTGATTGGCTTGAACCCACAAGAACCCAGGCTTCTCGATGTATACTCTTGCACCCGCAACCGTCATACTACTTGTCCTCGGCTGCTGCTATTCTAAATCTCCACCTTAGTCCATTTATTTCTTTCCATCAGTTGTGGGAGGTGAGAATTTGATCAGTACTCCAATTAAGCAACCATCCAAAATCCACACAATTAAGCTAGTCTCACTACTGGTCCACCCCCCTCTCTCTAGTGTACCATAATGACCCGTAGGGACTACCATCAACTATAATCAATGAGTCCGCCTGTCCTTTACCTATCCCTTTATTTTCCCGGCATCAACCCCTGCCCTTCTTTTCCACCGATCAATCCCTTCCTGGAGCGCATTTGGCAATGGCTTCTGGTGGGACGGTGATGGTGACGAGGACAAGGAATAGCGGGTTGGTTTTCTTGGTGGAGAAGCATTTCTGGCGCAGAACTCCTTTTACGGGACTGAGAGGAGGAGGGATTTGGACGAGCCGAGAGCGGCGGTTTGTGATCGGGAGGGAAAGGCCTGGGATTGGGATTTGACTACTAGCGGAAATTGAGATGGAGAAGTGTGGGCGGTGAGTTTTAGGGTTTTGCTATTATTAGTTTATATACTAATTACCAAAACGTGCAATGTGTAAGAGGTTAGTTTAGGTATTAGTCCTTAACTTGGTCCGCTTCGATTTAGGTTTTTCGTTCATAACCGTTGATCCAACCATTTGTTTATTAATGTCGACCCTGAACCCAAATGTCGGGATGTAACAAAGTTCATCCCCAAATTTTATTTTTGATGGAAACTAAATTAACAAAATGTGAATGGAAGAAATTGCAGCGACGATTGCGGTAACAAAATGGCATTGGGACGGCGGCAAGAAACACGGCTGGGGGTTTAGCTCTATTTTGGGATGCTGGTGTGGATTTCACACTTAACACGATGTCACTAAATCGTATTGATGGTGTCATCAAGAGAGAGGAAGATAATCTTATATGGCGGCCAACTGGTTGCCATGGATGGCCGGAGGGAGAAAATAAGCAAAAGTCATGGGACCTCTTCAGACTACTCCATAGGAGGATGTCCTCTCCATGGTTGGTTATAGGTGACTTCAACCAAGTGCCAATGGGAAGTGAGAAGAGAGGTTGAAGGATGAAAGGGATATGCAAGCTTTTGTTGATGCCTTATTGGATACGGGTTTGGAAGACTTGGAATTTGAGGGCTATCCCTTCACTTGGGACAAAGCTAGGGAAGGGTATGCTCTCATTGAAGAAAGGCTGGACCGGGCGGTTAGCACAGAGAATGGGCTTAGGCCCACTCGGATGTTATGGTTTGCCATTTGGGTTGGCCCGATTCAGACCACAGAGCCGTATGTCTCAACACAGAAGGGAAAGAAGGAGAGGAGGTACGGTGGGGATGGAGATTCAGATACGAAAGTTTCCGTGCAAAAGATGAGGAGGGCAAAGCAAGTGTGACTAAGGAGTGCAAAAAGAATGGACCGCTGGATATGGGGGATCGACTGCGCCTCTATGAGCAGCGCTTGCACCAGTAGAGTAAAGAGAAATTTGATAAATGGAAAGAAAGGTTGCGGGCGGTGGAGAAGGAAATCTCATAGGTAGATAAGCGGTCGAAAGATGCAGAATGGGTAGCGGCGAGACGGAACCTTGAAGCGACAAGGGCAGAGATCCTTATGCAGGAGGGAAAACGATGGCACCAGAGATCAAGGATCTTGTATCTTCGAGCGGGCAACAAGAACACGGGATGGTTCGATAGAAGGGCCTCGGAAAGGAAGAGGAGAAACATAATCAGGAAATTGGTCGATGATGAGGGTAGACTCTACTTGGGAAAAAGTGAGGTAAGCGACTGTCTCACAAGCTATTATTCTAGACTATTTGAAAGCTAGGGGGATACCGGTTGTGACAAGGTTACAACCACAATACCATGTAAAGTGACGATGAAAATGAATGAGCAGTTGTGGCAGCCTTTCACAACAAGTGAGATTGAAGTGGCCATTCGAAAGATGGGATCCCTCAAGGCGCCAGGGGAGGACGGTTTCCCAACTTTGTTTTACAAGGAGCACTGGGACACAATTAAAGAGTAGGTACCGATGGAATTGTTACACTACATGGAAACTGGGAAGGTACCGCACAAGATCAACAAAACCATGATATGTCTTATTCCAAAGGTCAAGAAACCGAGAGCGCCCAAAAATTTACATACCGATCAACCTTTGCAATATTTTCTATAAGCTGCTGTCCAAGGTCTTATCCAACCGGCTCACAATCCTTAACCAAATCATCTTAGAAATTTCGTTCCTGGGAGATCAATCAATGACAATGCTCTGGCTACATTCGAGTGGTTCCACTCTATGAAAAAGAAGGCAGTACAGATTAAAAGAGGTTTTCTTGCGGTCAAACTGGATATGGCAAAAGCGTATGACAGGGTGGAGTGGCATTTCCTGAGTAAGGTGATGGAGAAATTGGGATTTGAGGAACATTGGGTGAATCTGATAATGGAATGTGTCACCACTGTGACCTACTCTGTTTTGGTTAACGGACACCAAACGGAGACCATAACCCCAACAAGAGGATTACGCCAAGGGGATCCCATCTCCCCATATCTCTTTCTTCTGTGTGCGGAGGGATTATCCTCCATGATCCATGATGCTGAAAGAAAAGGGGCTTGGCACAGAATAAAGGTGAGTCAGAGAGGACCCTCGATTTCTCATTTGCTATTTGCCGATGACTGCATTTTCTTTGCTCGCGCTTGTCATCGGGAAAGTGAGAAAATCAAGCAAATCGTACATGAGTATGAGCGAGAATCGGGACAGATGATTAATCTAAGTAAGTCAGAATTTACTTTCAGCAAGAATGTAAGTCTGGAGAAGAGGGCAGAATCGCAAACCAGCTGGGGATTCGAGAAGTTTTGAAGCACGAAAAATATTTGGGACTTCCTACGGCGGTGGAGTGGTCTAAGAAGAAGGTTTTTTGCATATATTAAGGAGCAAATAAGGGGTAAGATCACAGGCTGGAAGGGCAGCACGATCTTAATGGTTGGGAAGGATGTTCTGATCAAGTCGGTGGATCTAGCACAAGGTAACTTTGCCATGTCTTTCTTTAAACTACCTTCAAATCTTATACATGAAATAAATAGTGTGTTCTCCAATTATTGGTGGGGGAGACGAGGGAAAAAACATGACTCATTGCAAGAACTGGCGTTTCATGTGCAAGGATCGTAATCAAGGGGGAATGGGGCTTCGGGAGCTTGAGACCTTCAATAAAGCTTTGGTGCAAAATAGTTCAGGAAACTTCTTCAGGAACACAGCAGCACTGGAAACCACCAAGTCTGGGAGTGGTTAAGGTGAATGTTGATGCAGGTTGTATGGGGGATAATGGGACAAGACTTATGATGGTTGTTCATGATTGGAGGGATCATTTTCAATATGCAGCAGTCAAGAGAGAGAGTGAGCAAGTAGCCCAACTATAGCGGAAGGGAGGGTTGTCTTGTTTGCAGTCATGAAGATGGAAGAAATGCAGTGGGGCCATATGAGGTTGAGTCGGATTGTTTGACTCTAATGAATAAACTAAAGCAGAAAACGATGGATCTCTCATAGCTCGGCACGATTTGCCAGATGATTTTGCAGACACAGGGAGTGGAGGACTGCCGAGGATGGAAGCATGTCCCTCGGGAAGGAAATTCAGTGGCACACAGATTAACGCATTATCCGATGAATATTAATGATTGTAATAGTTGGATAGGCCTTTCGCCCTCGTTCATTTCGAACGAGATGTACACAGACTCTAGCCATTTGGCCTAATTAATAAATTACAAGGGGTACGCTCCCTCCTTTCCCTAAAAAAAATTACATGTTTTTTAAGAAAAAGCTTTTTTCCATATGTATCCCGTAGACGGGAGACAACTAAATTACGAGAAAAATCAAGACCTTTGCAGGCCATATAAAAAATAGAAGAAGGGAAAAACGTTGGTCAACAAGTGTACGAACCGACGATCTAAGGGCCTCTTTTTCCATGAGATGGACATCTTTTTTTATAACTACGCGGAGCAAAATGAAACGAGGCACGCTCAAATGACTATAATAGCACATAAATCACTTGCTACATAGCTCCTCCCATCGCGTAGTTCGAGTCATTCACAAGGATCATCCGAATAATGACATGTGCATCACCACAATACAAAACATTAGTAAATGAATGAGCCAGACACCATCTCAGAGCATCACGAAGGGCACAATGCTCGATAAGGAAATGATAATATATGAGAGGATAGAAACGCCCAAACACAAAGTTTATAGAGAAACCAATAAATCCATTGTCAACCCCTATTTAATTCTTGGTGCCGCCATCAAAATTAACTCTAATGGGTATGGAAAGAGGAACAACATTCCGAGCGGATGAGCCTCCAGCGGTAGGGAAAGTGTGTCTAGCAGCTTGGAGGGGATGGCTTTGAGATAAGAACCATTCCACTACTTGGGCATGATAATGGCGAGCCAGCATATTAGGGAGATATTGTAAGTGGTCATACGTTTTGGTGCATCTGCTTTTCCAAATCCTCCAAAAGGGAAATATCATGCATGCAACCTCCACCTTTGAGAGACCTGCATAAAAAAAATCTATGTCAAGCAATAGCCACATGACAGTCATGAATCAGAATCAAAATAAAATATGCTCGAAAACCAACAAATGCCATAACACGACTGCAATACGACACTTCAAGAAACAATGAGATAAAGTCTCATCCGCACAATTACAAACAGGGCCAGAAAACCCCTCAATATCATCATCATCAATTATTTCTTAATTTCTTGAGGTGCCTATGGTTTTTGTAAAACTAAAACAAAAAGAAAAGAAATGTGCAGTAAAGTAAAACTAAGCAAGTTTGGATGGACGAGAGAGCATAGAAGGAAGGTGTTGCGTAGGCAACCTCCCCCTAGGTCTCCTAGTCATGTATCTATCAATATCTGGCAATATATGAGATGTCAATTTCTTATTCCATCAGATCCCACCTTCTGTCGAAGAATTTATCCGAACTAATAGGCGACAAGGACCCTATGGATTTCTCCTAGGAGACGTCACGGTGTTTGATCGAATGAGAATCGATCAGGTAAGACTGCCATTTATAGTCTTAATCCTACACGACTGCGATTTCGATCCTTTCACCTGAAAGGAGTGAAAGGTCGACTAAGCAATCATTCGAATCGACAAACATCGAGTTTTACATGACTAGAACCCCTAGGTTTCACATACCTACACAACTAAAGGAACTAGCCAGTAATGGGGAAGGGTTTCTGAGCGTTCATTAATCAAAATGAAGTCCTAAAATACCTTTGGAATCGGCGACCATAGCAGAGAAAACATGGCCAAGGAAGCCGTTCTCGGCGGCGACTCCTCCAGTGAGGTTTGTTTTACTTTGCGTAAGGTGAGAAGCTCTGTCGATAGAGTAACAACCCTTCCTTCACCTCTCTTCTCCTCCTCCTCGTTTCTATCTGTAGAGGCTGTTTATAGGCCTTTGATTAGGCTTTCTAGGGAGAGAAACTCGTAGCTTCCGCGTCAGCCAACCAATCTGAGAGCTTCAAACACGTAGCTAGCCTATCAGGAAGCTAAGTGCGACTACTTAAGGCAAGTGTACCCGTCGTAGAGGCAGTATAGCGACAAGCAAGGTCGTATTCCACAGAGACTATGACTACTAGTATTGAGTTATATTTCTTATTATTTAACCGATCTCATTTCAAGTTCTTTCAATTAACTAAAATAAAAAAGACAATGAAATTCAACAAAGACAAAACGTGGTTTCGAGGAAAATTCAAGCAGAGACCGGCATTGATTAGACTTCAAATCCCCCTGAGTTAATTATACCCTTTCGATTGATCATGCATAGACTCGAGGTTATGTTTCTTGACCGTAGGAATTCCCGAATTGGTGTTAACCCGATATTATCATGTATTAACACACTATTAGTTGATTCAATCTAAGTATGATATTCCCCTTGACCTAGATTGATTCTCCTAACGTTAATGCTTTATGAATTCCTCAATTAGGTTTTACCCTAATACAGAAGTCTCTCTTCCTCCATATTCTAGTAATAAGAGTTCATTATCATCTATGGGGCGTTCTACCCATCTTTGGGGATCTTCTCCTCAACATAGACACGAACATACAAGCATGCAACATGGGTGCAACTAAAGCATACCCGAAACATAATCCATAGATAAATCAAAGATCATACACATCCAAATCCATGTATTCTCAATCACATCAGTATCATACAACTTGGGTTCATCTAATCCAAAAAATAGAGTAGGATTAGTTCATGGCTAATGGAAAAATGAACAAAAGATAGAAAGAAGAAATGATTTCCATCATGGCCACTTGATCGGATGCTCCTAGGTGAATCATTTGGTGTAGAATGGATGGAAAACCTCATCTCTTTAATATGCTTAGAGACGCTTAAATAGGCATGATAAAAGGTCATTTAAGGGTGCGGTCACGGTCGCAAAACCAATCGTTAACTAAACCCCAGTCCTAGAACTAATTCGATCCAGCGTCACTTTAGGGCAGTCTTCATGCTTCATTCGTTTTCTGGTCGTGGCTGTGGGCAATAGCCGTGAATCACTCGGCATGAATTTCTTCAAGAGGATTTCCCATATGATTTTCACAGTTTGGGCCACGGGCGTGAGGCTAGCCATTGGAAGCTCCATAAAGTCATCCAAGAGCATTCCAAATGCCCTAAAGCTCCCAAGCTTTCATACTTTGTGTATTTCTTGTCCAAATATTATTAAAATCGTTCTTCATGACCTTGAACACACAAGAATCACAAACCAAGCCTAAAAGTGGCAAAAACAAAGGATGATTGTCGAGATGGTCAAGCAAAGAGGCTTGAAAGGGATCTTAAAACATGTATAATTTATGTGTTATCAGATACCCCCCACACTTAAGCCTTTGCTTGCCCTCAAGCAAAGCATCAATACGTCAGTTTTGCCATTGGAAATGTTTGGTATCATCTTGGTTGAACTGAAGGAGTTGGGTGAAAATGGTGAATCAATTATGGCTATTAGTTTGACTAGAAGAGTATGAATCATAACGATGACCATGCAGCTTAAGAGCTGAGGGTTACGATTGGCGCTTTACTTGTGTTATAGAAAATCCCTCACACTTGGGCTTTGTGCTATCCTCATACAAACCAAAACTCACAATCATACAACTCACTTGCCCCCACTATATTACACGAGTTTCGATCATAGGTAGTGGATCATAAGAAGCTTTCAAGGTCAACCCTTGCACTTAGGAAACCTTGACCTTTGCAATGGTGGGAGAAAGCATACTCGGAAGGGGAAAATGTCTTGCCTTTATGTGATTCTTAGTACTTTCCTCAAATTGAGTCCCAAAACTTGGGCCACAGCATCTGTACTTCAAAATTCTTTTGTGCTCGTTTCTACCTTATGAAAGTCTCGTTTACTAGTTCCTTCCTTTTTATGTCTCGCATGGGATTCGTTTGTTTCGTACATTGATAAATAGGAGCATGATCGAACAAGAGAAATTTCTACACCTTAGCACTAGGGGTGTACATGGGTCGGGTGGTCCGGGTTTAGGCATTTTAATCACCCGACTCATGCACTACGGTTTGGAAAATATTAAATCCAAACCCACCCAAAAAATTCTAAACCCTACGGTTTGTTTCTAAATGGGTTGGGTCGGGTTGGCGATATTTTTAAGTAAAGACCCAACCCAACACAAAATATGTAATTATTCTACATCATAAAAATATTTTATAACAAAATAAAAATTTCAAACGAATAAACCGAGGTGAAAGGTATCAAAATTCACAAATATTGTTTTAATTTTAATAAAACTTGATTTACTTCAACTTATGTCTAGTTTTTTTCACGACATTTGTTGAAATAGGCTAAAAAGGTTACAAATGAACGCATCCATAATATGGTATTTTTTAAAAATTCTACACAAGAAAAAAAATTACGTGAATCATAGCTATATTAAATATATGTCTAAACTTTAAGTCGAAGAATGTATTAGATTAGTGAGACTTTAAGAGAAAAACATGGTGAAATATCTTAATTTTCTCATAAGTATGACTATATACGACATAAATGTTTTTTTGGATATGAACTCATACCAATAATTGGAACACGGGTTGGGTCGGGTTCTACGGGTTGTGTAATCCAAAATCCAAACCCAACCCAAAAGAGGCGGGTTGTACAAAAGAAAACCCTCACCCAACCCAAAACCTTCGATTTAGCGATAAATACGGATGGGTTGGGTCGGGTAGGACGGGTGGGTCGGTTTGCGGGTGTGTTTGTTCACCCCTACTTAGCACTCTCATAAGGGTATACATTTGACTCATTATACGTGCTCTTGAAAACAAATCCTCACGTTGGTGGTCCTCTCTACTAGTGGAACTTTTACTTGTACTAGAGAGGAACTAGCATCGTCTTGTAGGCCTGCCCACCAAGATTCAACTAGTATCTCTTCCAAAACCCGATTTTGTGCATGAGAGGTCGCCTCACACATGGCTTTTCCCCCACACTTATTTGTGGCGGCTTTTCAGTAGACTTATCGTGGTAGGATTTTCGTTTGTAATAAAGATACAATGTGGTCTCTTTTTTCTTTTAGAGCAAAGACTCATAATGAGGATTCGAAGAGTAGGTCAATGTTTCATGACAAGGACATCCTTCATAGACCCTACTCCAGCCTCCTTAGAACGTGTTCTATCATAGAGACTAGGGATTCAAAGTAAGATGAATTTTGAAATGTCTTTGGGGGTCTGGTATTGACTAAATAATTTGAAATTTTAAGCGCAAAATGCTTAACATATATCAGTTGAATTTGGAAGAACTTCGACTGCTCAATCCTTGATGGGGATTGCACTAGTATACCCTCGATAATTAATATGAACTATTATGAATCTAACTCGCGGTACTTACTCATCAAGCATTTAGACCATAAAATCAACATTCACCATTCAACCTTCGTCATTCGTACATGCATAGAAGACTAAGCAGTCGTCATTCACCCCCCCCCCCCCCCACATGCACACACACACACAGACACACTTAAGTTGGATATTTTTCTCAATGGACGCAGAAGATATGCCAGAGGTATGGATAAATGCATTGCCGAATATAGGTTATGCGACATGGTGAATCAAAAGAATAAGTGGTTGCGAGAGACCCTAGAGAATACGATCATGACCTTTGGGCCAGGTAAATTTTGTGAGCTGCCACAATCAACAATCAAAATCTCATACCAGATAAGATATACTATTGCAGGTTGATAAGCCGCTAATTGTACATGTTATTTACCACTAATCTTGAACCATTTGCGAGTCTATTCTCGTGTTTTAAGCGGATTTCACGCTAGGGTGTTCTTGTTTGTGATATTTCAGGTCCTAGTACGTGGATGAAGGTTTAGGCACGCGTTTGTGATCGATTGGAAGAGGTTGGGACATTCGACGGGAAGCTGAGGAGTTTACGCGGCCTGGAAATAATTCTACACAACCGTGCAGGATGGTTGTGAGAGAGGGTTTACGCGGCCAAGGCCGTACGGCCAATGTAAGGCACCTTTTTGGCCATGAGGGATATCCAGGGGGTTTACACGGGCAAGTCTCAATTTCACACGCTCGTGTGGTCTGGCCGTGTGACTCCCCTTGACCAACTAAGTGCAACGGCGCGTTTTGGATTTACACAGGAAGACTGGACTTTCACACGGCCGTGTGATAGCGTCGTATTTGCACATGTTTTCACCCTTGTTTCCCGACCATTTTAGCTCGAATTTGTTGTTCCTTTGCCTATTTTACGCTAGGTTGTGTTGTTTTGTCGTATTTCAGGTCCTACCAAGTAAAGAGGTGCATAGGCGCAAGTTTAGGGTCATTTGGAGGTCAGGTGGCGATTCAAAGAGAAAATTACGGGCAGCCCCTGCCCATTTACGGGCGTAATTGCTCCTGACATGCCCGTAAATGCAATGTCGAGCCTAATTCTTCAGAATTCTTGTCGCAGAGACAATTATGGGCAAGAGTCAAAGTAACTACGGTCGTAATTCCATAATTACTGGCAGTAATTGGGTAATTAAGACCATAAATCCTTTCTTCTGAGTTAAGTGAAATGCGCGTTTTGGGCGATTTACGGACAGACCATGATTACGACCGTAATTTAGCCCGTAATTCGCCCAGAATCGGGTTTTTGAGGCAGATTCGAGCCAAAAGAGAGAGAGTCGACTTTTTGGAGCAAAGGACTTTTTGGGCAGCGAAGGAAGCTACACGGCCGTGCGGCCTGACTGTGCAATCACAGACAACTACATTTTAACCAAATTTCGGGTTTTGTAGAGAAAAAGGACTTTTTGGAGCAAAAACAGAGTTCTAGAGAGAGAAAGTGCGAAGAACAAACCCTAGGAGCTATTTGGAGTGGATTTCTCACCATTGAAGCCCAGATTGCATCCCCGGGAGTGAAGATTGACATCCTAGAGCAAATTCTTCCCATTGTTATGAGTATGACTGCTTTGTATTATGTTTCCCTCTCTCTCTATGGAGTAGAATTTCTCTCACTTGGGTATGAAGAACCCTAGAACTTTCTCTCAGGCGGTTTTCCGGCAATAACTCCCTCACCGGAGCTCCAAATTAAAATCCGAAACCACTCCCGTGCTCCTCTTATCAGCGCGCACAAGTCTATACCAGTGGGGTCGAGTTTGGCAGTGGTTTGGGTTGCCAGAAAACCGCGACTCTTCGGTGTTCTTCCGGCCCGATCTCCCTCCTCCGACCTCCAACGTCCAATCGACAAACCGTGACCACCACTGCGTTCCTGGAATCCGGGCCCTCATTCCCAAAAGTTTTGGGTCAGTTTGGCGGTGATGAAGTCAGCGGCGACGAAACCCCGGCGAGCCTCCCGGTGAGTTTCCTGGTGATTGTCGTGGAGTTTCACTCTTCCCTTACCTTCCCCGTGATACCTTCTTGTGCCTCCTGGTGTGCTTCTCTATTTTTACTTGTGAATTGTGGAGGATTGATATTACGGGTTTAAGTGAGGGAATTCGGGGATTGGGTTGTGCTTGAATGAATTCGGTAGGCCTACGGTATTGCATGCTTTGTTTGTTACTACTTTGGTTGGCCTACCGGGCAGCATGTGTTCGTGATTGTCCCACTTGGAGCCTAATTTGCTGTCTGGGTTTATTATCCGAGGGCTCCAAGTGCGTTTAATCTTGTGTGGATGGTGAATGTTTTTGAATGTTTTTCCTCCCTTGGGGCCTAGTCCATTGTCCAAATTTTATAATTCGAGGGCCCCGGGTGCGGATGATTGTGTACTCACCATTGACAAATTTCCATGTATGTTGTTGTGTTTTTGTTGCTTTTTGGTTGCAGGACCATGAACACTTACCTGAACATGCTCAACGCCAACCAGAGGAAGACTCTGCGGGAAATCCGATGCCGCAAAGTCGTTGAGCACCATTACCTCAATTTTGAGGTCTTCGAGGAGCTGGGTGCTTGCGAGGCAATGGAGGCTGCCATCCGCGCTTACTCTTGGCACCGCCTCCTCTGCCTCACTGAGCCGATTTATTAGGAGCTACTCTGGGAGTTCTATGCCACCTTCGTGCACTTCCAGACCCACGCAGGCGCTCACGGCAACGCCATTCAGTTCCGACTTGGCGGGGAGTCTTATTCCCTCAGCTATGATGACTTCGGCCGGGCACTAAGGCTCCTTCCACCATTCGCCTGCCACTTGGCCATCGAATAGAAGGACTGTCCCATCTTTCGGGACCAAAGGTTTTTCAAAAGGATCTGCCTCCCGGAGTTCGTGGGCGCTGTGTTCACACCGGGCTACACCACTGCTACTCAGCTGCGCCCAGAGTGGCGCATCCTCAACCAGCTATTGGGGAAATCTTACACCCCCAGCGGTGGCTCAACCAGTCATCTTCAGCTCCGCACCTTGCACTGCCTGCACTCCATCAGCCAGGAGGAAGACAACCTCCATTTGGCCTCTCTCATCGCCAAGACCGTCTCCAAGGCTTCTCGCTGTGGTCGTGCTTTGGCTTGTGGGCCGGTGGTCACTGCCCTGGCCCGGTACTTCAACATCGACCTCTCCGGGTTCACTGTCATCCTGCCACCGACACCCTTCTCCAGGGAAACCCTACGGCGCTGATGCTCTAAAACACAACACCTAACAATGGCCAAGTGTAACCAATGAAAGGGACTGCAGTATAGTGGCACAAGTAATAAATATCGAATCCACGGGTCTCTAGAGTTACTATTACTCAGCTTCAGTTCATTATCTAGCAAACTAGATTAAGGATTGATTAACTAAACTACTCTACTAACTAAACTAAGTAAAACTACTAATTACAGTTTGGGAACTCACTTAGGTATGATTCCCCCTAGCTCCTCAATTAGGTCCAAGTTGTAATTCATTTTGGTTGATTTACTGTTGATTAAACTGCGGAAGATCCGACAGTCGCTTGGAATCTCTTAAGCTGACCAAGCCCTATCAGTCTAACTATCCGGCAGACGACTAGTCTTCACCGGGATAGAAAGCTGAAGCAATAAGCACAGAACTCCACTACTGGAATTGGATTCCAGTACAAAGCAGTAAACTGGCTAACTCTCGTATAGCCAATCTCCTACTACCGAATGATGAGACTCTAGCAACCTAATCAGATTCTATCCATCTCAGATTGTAGCAGGAATCAGGAAAAGTTGATCAGACTTCAATTGACTCAATAAACATGCATCATTCGATTATAATCAAACAATATAGCATCCAAAACTTCATACAAGAAAGATCCTAACTCATGGAACTAAGGTTCCTCAAAACCTAAGTGAAGGGAAGTTACTCCATAGAGAAGAGAGAGACTGCAGAAATCTGATCTAGATCTTCAATCTCCATCTCCAAGCTTGATTCCCGAGCTCCAATGGCGAAGAAATCCTCCAAAATAGCTCCAAGAATATTCTCAAGTCTCTCTCTCTCTCTAGGGTTCGTCCCTTGGGTGTTTGGGATCCAAAAACCCAGCTCTCCTCTTCTTTGGTTCGGAATTTGGCTTAAAACCAGGAAATCCCGACTCGCACGGCCAGGGTGCACGGCCGTGCATATCACCATTCTGGCCGTGCAACTCAAAACGCAGCGTGTCATTTAGTCGAACTTCAGCCCTCTCGCACGGCCAGGGTGCACGGCCGTGCGAGCTTCAGGGGTTGCCCGTGCGTGTCCTCGGCATAAGGCGCACGGCCATATTGCTCACGTGCACGGCCGTGCAGCCTCCCTGGTCTGCCCGTGCAGCTCCCCAAAAACCTCGCCATTCGTCCGTTCTTCGTCCAATCGACCCCAGACTCGCTCCTAAGCCTTCATTCACGTACTAGGACCTGAAACATCACAAACAAGCACAACCTAGCGTGAAATCGGCCTAAAACACGAGAATCAACACCTCAAACGGTGTAAGAATGGGGGTAAAAACATGTGTAAATGACGGTCTATCAAACTCCCCCACACTTAACCGTTTGCTTATCCCCAAGCAAACCTAACTCAAACCAATGCAACTCTCCAGACCTCTATAGCAACAAACAACCCAGATCGTAGGTAGAGGACTTCCTAGATCATTTAGCAACTTACGAGGTCAACCGACGCACAAGTCATCTCATAACTTCTTCGGCGAGTCGGCATCACGGCAAATAGTGAACAGAGGACAAATGAATTGTGGATGAAGAGATTCTCAAAAACAAAAGATCATGGACTCACATTTTTCAAGGTGCTCTATTTTATTCTTGAAGATGGTTGGAACCCCTTTTCTTTTTGTTTTGCTTGTTTTCTGTTATTTTATTTTCTTTTTTTTTCTTTCAAGGGTCCCAACCTGCTCTTACCGGCCATGCCAGGAGCGGATGTCTCGAGCCTCGTGCGGGGGAAAGACATGTAAAGGGGCTGGAGGTAGTAGGTGGAAATTGGGAACGAATTTCCGTCTCCCCTTACACACTTTCGCCCTATTCGCACGGGAGATGTTATTTTGAAGCACATTTTCGAGCACCTGTTAAACTCAAAACATGAAACAAGAGTCCATGACAGGTAGAGAGTCCACAACACCACACAATTCAATGGCCCTAAGGTCACTAATTCACTCAATCAACCAACACAATATGAAGAAGAAATGAGACTTCTTAAATGCATCAACATCCTCCATAGTGCTACACTATGTCCCTAGGTTGCATATTACTATAAAGACTGTCAATTCAAAGCATACTGAGCAGGCAATTGCACGGAAACACGTACTTGGAGCCCTCAAATTTAAAAATTTGGACAGTGGACTAGGCTCCAAGCACACAAACAGATCTAATGCAGTCAAAAGATGAACATCCCCCCACACTTAAGATCGACATTGCCCTCAATGGAGAAGAGGGAAGGGAAAGGGGAACGATGTTACCGGTATGCACGGACTGCAGGAGACTGGAAGCGGACTAGTCGGAGTGAAGCGGACTGGAGAGAGACCAGTCTGGAACAAAGCACAGCTAAAGGGGAACAGAAGAGCTCAAACACAATATGTTAGGTCCAATGTCGGCCCAATAAGACATCATCCAAAACAAAAGAAAACAAACCAAAACCAAACCGGTTTACAATCCGACTCAAAACACAAGAAAGAAAGTCAAACCGTGGTGGGGTTGCCTCCCCACAAGCGCTTCTTTACCGTCTTGTAGCTGGACGCCCATGGTGGATACTCAGGGAGGTGCAGGAACAGGTGCCTCCAAGAGCGGATCCACGTCGCTCTTGAGGTACAGCTTCAGGTTGTGGCCATGCACCCGACGGGTGAGGCCACCATCATCGGTCAGCTCGACCTGGCCATCCGGCAACATGCAGGCGAGTGAGTACCCAGACGGCCAGGGTGGTCGTGGTGTAGGAGGTGGGACCAGCTCATAGTGGTCTCCACTCTTCTTCCGTGCAGGCTTAGCAACCTGCTGCTTCGGCCGCCACTCCTCCTTGAGTTTTTTGTTCGGAGGCGAGGCTGGATGGAGTGGCGGCGAAGGAATGATAGGAGGGTCCTGCAAAATAAGAGGTGCAGAAGGATACACGACAGGCTCGTGTACCTGATCAGAAATGGCATGGACAGGCGTGACAGCAATCATAGCACAGTGATCAAATTCAGTCACAGAGTAGCATGTTCCTTCCCAGCACGCAGGATCAGTTTACCATCATGCACATCAATAAGTGTCTTGGCGGTGGCAAGAAATGGTCTACCTAGAATTAAAGGCACATCCACATCCTCATGTATATCAAGAATAACAAAATCAACAGGATATGTGAATGCACCTACTTTAACAAGCAGATCCTCAATGATACCCCTAGGATGCACGATAGAACGATCAGCTAACTGAATGCTCATCCTAGTAGGGCTAAGTTCACCTAGGTCTAGCTTTTTATACAACTTATATGGCATGACATTTATGCTAGCGCCTAGGTACGCCAAGGACTTGCCTACATGCATGCTGCCAATATTAAGAGGGATAGTAAAACTCCCTGGGTCTTTTCGCTTCTCGGGCAGCTTGTTCTGCAGGATAGCAGAACACTCCTCACTGAGCATCACTGTCGAAAGATCCCCCAAGTTTCTTCTTGTCGGTGAGGAGGTCTTTCATGAACTTGGCATACTTGGGCATCTTCGACAGTGCCTCCACGAACGGTATGCTGATGTTGAGCTGCTTCAACATTGCCATAAACTTGGCAAACTCAGTCTCCAGCTTGTCTTTGTGTAGGCGAGTGGGGAAGGGAAGCTGGGGTACATGCTCCTTAACCACTGGTTGTGGCTTGGGAGCAGGGGCTTCCTTCTCCACCTGCACTTCTGCATCGTCGGCTGGAAGTGCTGAAGCAGGTAGTGGTTCCTCCTGTCTGGCCGTGACAGGATCAGCAGATATGGTCTTATCGCTCCTGGTAAAAATGGCATCCAGCTGCTGGAGCTGGTGAGGATCCCGAGGATTCGGGATAGTGGTGGCAGGCAGAGTCCCCGGTGCCCTGGTAGTGTTTTGGCGGGCCAAGATGCCCACCTGGGTCTGCAGATCTTGCAAAATGGCCCCCTGGTTCCGCTGACCTGCCTCTAGTGACGTGATAGCAGCCTGAGTGCTAGTCATGAATGAAGCTAGAATATTTTCCAGCTTTGTCATCCGGTCATCTGGGACCGGAGCTGCTGCTGGCTCGGCGAACTGGCGCTGGGGCTGCTGGAATGGTTGCCCCTGCCTAGGCTGGTAGGGCTGCTGTTGTGGGGCTGGCCCCTGTCGAGCCTGGAAGGGCTGCCTCTGCTGGAAACCACCTGCTGGTGCTGGGAAACCAGGTGGTTTAGTGGTGCTGCTGCTCCAGGCGAAGTTGGGATGCTGGCGCCACCCCTCATTATATGTGTTGCTGTACGGGTCGAGACGCCGAGCATTGGCGATGAAGTCCAACTGCTCTTGGGGAGTGGTAGACTCCCTCATAGCCTGGCAGTCCTCCACCAGGTGATTGGAGCTCTCGCACCACTGACATTGAGCAACTGGAGGTGTAGCCAAACCTCTGCCCGGAATAAGACTGTTGGGCTGCTTCAATGTCTGCACTAGCTCAGCTACCTGCTGCTCAAGCCCGGATCTGGTCTCCATGGCGTGGACACCACGGTCCCGGGAATGTCTGCCTCGGCTGCTCTGCCCCCAGGAATGATCTCTGGCAGCCAAAGTATTGATCATCTGGTTCAGCTTGGGTGGGGTCTTAGTGAGAACATCCCCTCCTGGGCATAGAGACTCAATCACCCTCTGGCTTTCTGGAGAGAGAGCACTGTAGAAGTTCCCCACTGTGAATGCATCACTAAAGCCATGATGGGGACACTGCCAGAAATATCCCATGTACCGCTCCCATGCATCACGAAGTGACTCATCTGGCTCTTGGCGGAAGTGAGTGATCCCCCGCTGTATCTCGGTAGTCTTCGATGCCGGATAGTACCTGTGCACGAATTTGTCAGCCAGATCGTCCCAAGAGGTGATGGACAATGGGGGCTGGGTCTCCAACCACCTCTTAGCATTCCCCGCGAGAGAATGGGGGAAGAGATGAAGGCGGATTGCATCATCCGGGACACCATTCAGGTTGAACCCGTTCGTCAGCTGCAGAAAACGGGAAAGATGCACCCTGGCCTCCTCATCCTTCAAGCCATGGAACTGGATAGAGGATGTAATGAGCTGAATCCAGCATGGCTTGATCTCGAAGTTATTTGCTGGAATAGGCGGGTAGAGGATGATCGGGCGGATGTCAGCAATCCGAGGAGTGTAGTAGTACTCCAAGGTGGGACTCGGCTGCGGTGGATGATGAACCCCATGATCATGGGGTATGGGGTTGTTCCCCAGGACCTGATTCACCGGGGGAGCCTGCTGAGGATTCCCCTAGTGCTGATTGTAGTCTCCGTCCATCCCGTACTCTTCTTCAGAATCGCTACTCAAGTGGCCGTCTAGGCGCTCTTCCGTAGCCAGTCTAGCTCGCTGTTGTCTCCTGAGTTGGCGACAGGTGCGATCAATCTCTGGATTCAATGGCAGTAAACCTCCTGACTGGCTACGGGTCATGCACTACCTGCACACACTCAAGCAAGCAAACCCGTGAAGGCACAAGTGGGACAAAGCAAACAAAGCAAAAAGAAAAGCTAAATTAACAGAAATCACTTTTCTTCAACAACCTAGCCGTCCCCGGCAACGGCGCCAAAAACTTGACTCACTTCTACTGTCACTCCAGGAATTGGCCAAGTGAAACCACTTCCTAAAGCGTAGTATAGCGGGTTTGGGTTTAATTATCAACCCGGGTCCTAGATTTGATGACTACTCGGTGAATTCTTGTTATCTAGCAATGAAACTTTAATGCAAGTCTAAACTACCAAACAAACAAAGCAAGTAAACTGTTGTATTCAGGTTAAGAGAGGTCACCCGGATATGGTTCCCCCTAGACTGCAGTTAAGCCGGATTGTAATTACCAAGTTCAGTTTCTATGATAGTTATACTGCGGAAGGTTCTTAAACAGCCTGAAGTCTCGACTAAAGGTCTTCAGACCCTCTCAATCTGAGTCTCTAGCGGGCGACTAACCTCCACCGGAGTAAACAGATTGAGGCCTTAACAAACAAAACCTCCACTACCGAAGTGAATCCGGTACAGAATAGTGAGTTGGCTCCTCGACTAAAGTCACCAACTCCCTACCTTCAATCAAGGATGCTCTATCAACCTAGGCAGATATTCTCATTCTAGGTTAAAGCAGAAACAACAGGAATTTGATCAGGATTCATGTCATTCAAACATTCAAACCTCAATTGAACATAATCAAATCATAGATTCAGTACTTGGGTTCATACAATCAAACCTAACATACAAATCTAGGGTTCTCCATACCTAGATGAATGGGAGAACTACTCCATGGAGAAAGAAGCAAAAGCAGAATCAGACGCGGAATTCATACTGTGAAGGATGGATTCCTGCTCCTGGACGTTGATCGGCACTTCTCCAAGCTCAAACTGGCCTCCAATGGTGTTGAAGATCAATCTATGGCACTTGGAGACTCTTGTTCGTCACTTTCTCTCTCTAGGAATTGCTCTATCTCTCTCAAAACTCGAATCCCCTCGACTTGTGGCTGGAAATTGGCTTAAAACCAGAAAATCCTGACTCACACGGGCAGGCTGCACGGCCGTGTGGCTCACCCAGTTGCCCGTGCGAGTCAAAACGCAGCGTATCGATTAGTTGAATTACAGGCTTCTTACACGGCCAGGGTCGCACGGCCGTGCAGCTCACCTTGCACGGCCGTGTGGATTTTCTGCTCTGGCCGTGTTTGCTCTCGCACAATCCCACACGGCCAAACTGGTCAATTGCACGGCCGTGCAGGTTGTGGGTGTGCCCGTGCAGCTTCCTTTGTGACTTGCCTCGCGCCCGATCTTCGCCCAATCGACCCCGAACTCGCTCCTAAACCTTCATTCACTTGCCAGGACCTGAAATATCACAAACAAGCACAACCTAGCGTGAAATCGGTCTAAAACACGAGAAACCACATCTCAAACGGTGCAAGAACAGGGATTCTAGGTGAAAACATCAAGTTTTTGGCGCCGTTGCCGGGGATTCTAGGTTATTGTAGAAACATGAACGTCTGTTACTCTAGCATTTTCTTTACTGCATTATCTCTCTTCCACCTATGTGCCCTCATGGGTTGTGTTTCCAGACTGTGTGCAGATAGGCCCGTAGCCAGTAGGGAGAACTATATCAGTTAGACCAAGAGCTTGAACGGACTTGTAGGAACTTCAAGCGAGCTTTGAAGGCACGAATAGCTGCGGAGGAAGATTTGGAGCAACTGCACATCACTGAGGAGGAAGAAATGGGCAATCCGATAAACAATAACGCGGTCATCCCCGAGGAACATACCATGGGATACTACTAGACTGCTAGAGCCGCATACATGATGTTGCCCATCTAGCACCTTCAAGTTCTAGCTAACAACTTCGAGGTGAGCCCCAGATCGCCCTTACGGTGATTCCATGAGCTGATCGATGGGATCATGGTAAATGGGGTCTCTGCCGATGCCATCCAGCTGAGATACTTCCAATTCACTCTGGAGGGGCAGGCCAATGAGTGGCTGGACACTCGGCCTTCGGGATCGATCTCTACATTCGCCAACCTAGCGGACAAGTTCCTCACCCACTATAATCCTCCATCAAAGACGGCGGACCTGCAGAAGCAGATCACTCATTTTGCCCAGGACGAAGATGAAACCATTGGGGATGCTTGGGAGAGATATACTAGTCTCTTCCTAAATTGTTCCAATCATGGTTTCAATGACACCTTCAAGGTGGGCACCTTCTACCATGCCTTCTTCCCAGAAGACAAGCAGCAGATTGACTCGGTTTGTGGCGGGAACATGTTGACCAAGACGCCACTGCAACTAAATTGGCTCTTCGAATAGATGGCAGAGCAGGTATATGACTGGGGAACTGCTAGGAGATCAATGCGAGCACCAGGCGGGGGTGTGCATGTTGTAGCCACCTAGTCGTCTGAGTTGGTGCAGGTTGTGTCTAAACTGGTCTCCGCCCTTGATCGTTCTGGAATAGTTCCAGGAGCAAGAATGTAGCAGGCAATGCGTTGCCTGTGGTGCGAGAGCTCCCATCATACTGTGGAAGACTGTCAGGCGATGCGGGAATCGACTACACCCCAGGAGCAGTTGGACTTCATCTGCAATGCCAAGCATTTCGACCCCTACAGCAACACTTATAACGACGGGTGGTGCCAACATCCCAATTTCTCCTAGAATGGAAATAATCCTAAGCCACCAGTCTCCTAGGGACCTCCAGGATTTCAGAGACCGCCATATCAGCCCAATCAGGGGCAATTCCAGCAGCATTAGTCTCTTTACCAGCCCATACAAGGGCATGCTTCTCTACCGCAGCCACAACCTTTCCAACAGCCAGGTGCAGCTCCTGCAACCCTAGTGCATAATGATCTTATAGCTGAACTGCGGGACTTGGTGGGTTCTCTTGCCAGTTCCAGTGCGCACAAATTCAACAATATCAAGCAGTTCATGGAAAATGCCTCGAGTAAATTCCTGGCTCTTGAAGCTGGCCAAAGGAACACAGGCTGTTCTGCAAGATATCCAAACCCTGTTGGGGAGTGTGGCTCAAGCAGTGGCACATAGGGCTCCGGGTACCTTGCTCTAGGGGTGGAAAATGGGGTGGGTGTGGTTACCCGCCCCACAATTTGCGGAAAACCCACACCCACAAATTTACAATTATGCTACCCACAACCCGTACCGCGGTGGTTAGTGGGTAACCACTACCCACTGTGGGTTTGTGCGGGTTGGGTGTGATTACCCGCAAAAATCCATATTTGCAAGCATAGAGTTCTAGTCGCCACTAACGTATTTGTTGTTCGTAACTAGATTATAGTGATATACATTTGTGTTATTCGTGGAGATACAATTTTGTACATAGATCTTACTCAACGTGGAGATTTTTTCTTTTTGAGTTTGGTATTCAATTTTTGTGCCAGAGAGCTGTGATTTCATATTTTCCCGACTAGGGATGAAATATGACAATTAAATATGATCTTGTATTTTTTTCACACAAAAGCAAAAACATATTGATAAAAGTTATAAAAGGTGTTCACTTTTAATGAATTGATTATTCTCCACTCTATCGATTATAGTGTTTTATAAACTAAAAAATTCTTACATAAAACTGATTAGGTGTGTCTTTTTTAATTGGTGGCTACTTTAATTTTTATCCTCACACTTTTCATATACTATTATATTATAAAGTTAATTCACTAAATAAATATAATTAGTGTGGTTATTGTGGATTTTGTGGGTTATCCGCGGTGGGTAGTGGATAACCACTAACCACAAAAATCGTTATTTTACTACCCACACCCAACCCACTACCCACAACTTGTGGGTATGGTTGCCCACAATAGGTGCGGGTTGGTGCAAGTGACCTTTTTGGTCGTGTGGGATTTACCGAAACTTCGCACAACCTGCCCTTATTTTCGCATGGCTATGCACGACTCATTTGCTGGCCGTGATGAATCATGTGAGAAGCTGCACGGCCAGGCTCTCGGTTTGCACGGGTCGAACAATGGCCGTGCACTCCCCTCGCAGAACTAATTCAAACGCTGCGTTTTGGGCTGCACGGGCAGCGAAGGAAGCTGCACGGCCGTGCGGCCTGACTGTGCAATCCCGGACAGCTGTATTTTAACCCAACTTGGGGTTTTGGAGAGAAAATGACTTTTGGGAGCAAAAATAGAGTTCTAGAGAGAAAAAGTGCGAAGAACTAACCCTAGGAGCTATTTGGAGTGGATTTCTCACCATTGAAGCCCATATTGCATCCCTAGGAGTGAAGATTGACATCCCAGAGCATATTATTCCCATCTTTATGAGTATGACTGCTTTGATTTCTGTTTTCCTCTCTTTCTCGATGGAGTAGACCTTTCTCTCACTTGGGTATGAAGAACCCTAGTTTCATGTTTTAGAGATTTGAGTTGTAATGACTTTTGGATTGATATACTATTTGATTATAATTGATTGAAGTGTGTTTATTGAGTCAATTGAATCCTAATCAACTTTTTTTTATTTTTGCTGCAACCTGAGATAGATAGAATCTGATTAGGTTGTTATAGCTTCTTCAATTGATAGGAGTGGATTGATTATACGAGAGTCAGTCAATTCATTGCCTTCTACTTGAATCCAATTCCAGTAGTGGAGTTCTATGTTAATTGCCTTAGCTTTCTATCTCGGTGAAGACTAGTCATCTGCCGATTAGTCTGTCTAAGAAGGCTTGGTCAGCTTAAGAGATTCCAAGCTACTATCGGATCTTCCGCAGTTTAATCAACAGTTAATCAACCCAAGGAAGTTACAACTTGGACCTAACTGAGGAGCTAGGGGGCTTGAACACACCTAAAGTAATTTATAGAGACGAAATTGACTGACCCTCGCTAATTTTTCTCACTAATACCTATATTTACCGACAAATCCTGCGTTTTTATCATAAATACATAACTCGTTGACGAAACATTATTGACAAAAGAACAATATCGTCCCTAAAAGTAATTTTTAGCAACTAAATTGATTGTCCCTTGCTAATTTGGTCACTAATAGCAGTTTTTACTGACGAGATTTAGGCTTTGTCTCAAACACAATGTTTTGACGGAACATCACTTACGAGTAAATTTTATTCGTAGCAAATAACCATGGTGCCAATTTTTCCCTCCAAAAAGTAGAGCTACTGACAAAGATTATTGTATTTACCGACGACATCTACTCATTGTCACAAATACATAACTAGTTGACAAAACATTATTGACGAAAGAGAAATATCGTCCCTAAAAGTGATTTTTAGCGAGAAAATTGACCGTCCCTCGCTCTTTTATTGTCCCTAATGGCAGTCTTTTTTGTAGTACTGGTATTGAGGGAAATAGGGGATATCTTAGAAAATTGGTTGACCTCGTAAGTTGCTAAATGATCTAGGAAATCCTCTACCGACGATTGGGGTTGCATGGTGCTGGAGAGGTCTGGAGAGCTGCATTGGTTTGAGCCAGGTTTGCTTGGGGACAAGCAAGTGGTAAGTGTGGGGGGATTTGATAAGCCGCTAATTGTACATATTATTTCCCACTAATCTTGAACCGTTTGAGAGTCGATTCTCGTGTTTTAAGCCGATTTCACGCTAGGGTGTTCTTGTTGGTGATATTTCAAGTTCTAGTACGTGGATGAAGGTTTAGGCACGCGTTTAGGATCGATTGGACGAGGTTGGGACATTCAACGGGAAGTTGAGGAGTTTATGCGGCCTGGACATAATTCTACACGGCCGTGCAAGTTGGCTGTATGAGAGGGTTTACGCGGCCAAGGTCGTACGGCCCGTGTGGTCTGGCCTTGTGACTCCCCTTGACCAACTAAGTGCAACTGCGGGTTTTGGAGTTACACGGGCAGACTGGACTTTTACACGGCCGTGTGGCCTGGCCGTGTAATCGGGCAGAGCTGGGTTTTAACCCAAGTTTTAGAGAGAGAAAGTGACGAACCCACTCTCTAAGGTGACCAAGATTGAGATTCAACACCATTGGAGCATGATTGAAGCCTTGAGAAGCACCGATTGACAACCAGAAGCTGATTATCATTCTCCACGAGATGATTTCTGCATCTGAAGTCGATTTCTCTTCTCTCTCTATGGAGTAACTTCCTCTCTCACCTGGATATGAAGAACCCTAGATTTGTATGTTAGGTTTGAATGTATTTCTGAACCCTAGTACTTGATCCTTTGACATTGATTATATTCAATTGAGGCATGATTTCTGAATTGCATGAATCTTGATCACATTTTTCTAGTTTTTGCTTTGACCTAGAAAGAGAATATCTGCCTAGGTTGATAGAGCACCCTTAATTGAAGGTGGTGAATTGACTACTTTAGTCGAGGAGACAATTCACTGCTCTGTACTGGATTCATTCCAGTAGAGTACGTTTTGCACATTAGGGCCTCAGTTTGTTTACTTTGGTGGAAGTTAGTCGCCCGCCGGGTAATCAGATTGAGAGGGACTAGAGACCTTTAGTCGAGACTTCATACTGATTAAGAACCTTCCATAGTATAACTATTATTGAATCTGGACTTGGTGGATTACAATGCGGCTTAACTGCAATCTAGGGGGAACCATATCTGGGTGACCTCTCTCAAATTTGAATCACAACCTTTACTGCTTTGTGTTTGTTTAGTTTAGTCACAACCTCACTATAGTTAAACAGCTAGATAACAAGAATCTCACGGAGTAGTCAGCGCATCTAGGACCCGGTTAAACAGCTATACTACTCATTAGTAGGTGGTTACACTTGGCCACTTTCTAGTGTGACTATAAAAGCGAGTCACAGGCCACATAACTACATATACTCTATCAGCAGCTGAGTTCTCTATAATTTTCCTACAAGCTTCCTCCAATGTTGTTTCCCAATTTTGCTGCTAAAAACCAGGCAAGTAAACTCCACATGCAACCACTTTATTCAAGAAAGAACATTGGAAAAACATATGCTCTCTTGTTTCTTCCTCCTCATTACACAACACGCAATCTTCACTCACCAACTTACCTCGCTTACAAAACTTATTTTTGTAACAATTGCAAAAAAAAAAATTATCACAACCCAGGCTATGAAGCTGAATCTAGGTACATGATTCTTATTCCAGAGAAGTTTATGCCATGTAACCTTGCTTTGTCTAACTCTTAATGTATCCTATATTGTCCTCGCTGAAAATTTCGTTGTTGGCTTTCCTTCCCAAAACACTTATTCCCCCTTTTCTGTAAATGGTTCTGGAGGGCACGACTTAGTTTGAGAATTATTCTCCATGTCTATGAGCTACTAGGTAAGGCCTTCATATCTAGCCATCCATGTCCCTACATCTGTAGGCTTTCATCCGAGCCATCCACAAGTTTCTCAAATCCATTAGCATTAACCAAATAATCTTAGCAGTACATACCTTGTTCCAAGTTAGTAAATCATGCAGTCCCAGTCCCCCTTTCTGATTTAGGAGTAGCCACCTTCTCCCAGGCTACCTTTGCCTTGCCAGAGTCAGTATCATGCTAGAGAAAACCTGAACACACTTTCTGGAGCTGTAAAATTACTTTGTTATAAAAGAGATATACCTAAAACCAGTATTGGATAAACCCATAAACACAAAGCTAGTCAACTATAATCTCCCTGCAAAAGCGAGGCTCCTTTATTGCCATGATTTGATCTGCTTGTGAGTTTAGAAATGATAAGGTCACATAATTTCTTAGTAAACTTCCCTATAATCAAAGAAAGACCAAGGTACATAACATGTAATAATCCCTCCCAAATACCATACTGGGAAAGAGCATTCTGTTGTTACTTATATGATTCCCCTCCAAAATAGATTTCACACTTGTTAGGGATTCACTTTAGACCAGATATACTATGTTTATTCTTGTAACATTTAATCTTCCCAATTTCCTGGTTGTAACTTTCTATAAAGATCAGGAGATCGTATGCGGGGCTGAGGGGAGCGGATCAGGTTAGTAACCTTATGTTGAGTAACCATGAGTAACCCATCCACATCAGCATGACATCAACATCACTCTCTCTCGTTGAAAACCTTTTATCTTTCCCCTTTAATCTTTGACAGACGATTTCTCTCTCATTTTAAGTCAAAATTTAAATTTTTTGCAAAAATAAATAAGATTAATTGTGCTCTTTAATATGATATTCACTTTGATATATTTTTAGAACAAAAAAATTGAGGTATGAATATACCAATATGGTATGAACAAAAAAATTAATTGTGCTCTTTAATACCATATGATAAGAAAGCGTACCATGATGGTATGAATATACCAATATGGTAGGAAGGTTGAATACATTATAGTAGGAGTATACTAACTGTCATTTACGACTTTCATCATTGTTTACCACAAGTTACCACCCACATACCATAATGGTAAAGTATGATAATTATTGGTCCTGTATTTTTTTCACCCAGAAATTTGTAGATCCAATAGATCATGGTGAACTCGTTCCTTCTGAGCAAACATTTTCAAAACGACTTAAAAACGAATAAGTTACCATATGGTATGTAGTTGGTAACGGGAGGTATGAAAAAAAGTTTCTCGAAATATATTGAAAATTGATCTCATTTTGGAGA